TATTATATATTATATATTATATATTATATATTATATATTATATATTATATATTATATATTATATATTATATATTATATATTATATATTATATATTATATATTATATATTATATATTATATATTATATATTATATATTATATATATATTCTTATATTATTATCTGATAATTTCTTTGTTTTTATCAGTTTAAAAATACAAATCAAAATTCAATTAAATGTATTAATTTTTTTGGCTAAATAAATTTTTATTTTTTTTTTTATTTATAAGCTATAAATTATCATACATTCTTAATTAAAAATATTGTAATTACATTCTTAAAATTTTAATTTTTCGGTCTTAGAAGAAATTTTAATATCAAAATATATTTAAAATAATTAACATTCGAAACTAGAAGTTTATTTGAAATATATATAAATAATATAAAATTATTAGTCTGTGCGAAATATTTAATTTAATTAAAATAAATTACGTATTTTTGTGTTTTTGATTACTAATTAAACCCACCAACAAAATCGAAAAAAAATGTTCAGTAACTTTTAGTTAATTGACTTTAAACAATTTTTTTTAATTAATTATATAATTAAATTCAATTAATAAATTTATTTTCTTTTAAATAAGTAATTAAAACCTGAGAAAATATTAATTAAATTTGAATTAATTGAATATATTTATAATAATTTTTTCTGGAATTTATTTAATATTCAGCTTAAGCTCAAATCCTATAAGAAAATAGAGTTTGTAAATGAGATTTTCAGTATTATCTGCTCGTCCTATAGAGTCTTATGCCAGTTATCTATAGCATTAACCTGACCGCAAAAAGAAGCTAAAAACTTAATTTCATTAAGATAATCGCTTAGTTAACCGAGTTCAGTTAGTTGAGTTAGATGAGGCAGCTATATAGCTATTGAAACAAGGACAGTAGCTTATAAATACCCTAGCTTTTCAGTAACCAACCTCCGCACATAGTTCTTATGCCTCAAGTCAGGGCATCCGCAAGAAGCAGAAGTAGAAAAATGTATTCGCGTTTGGGCCATTCCACAAAAGCGCATTAAGTGGTCCATTCGCTGGGCTCGTTCAATCGTATCCCAGGCCAAGCTCTTCTTGATTATGGCTATGAGTTGGCCAGAGTCTATATATATATATACAGCTGTGAATGCTATGTGTGTATGTGTAGCTATATCTAGGCACCTTTGAGTAGTTTCGCTGCGATTCGATTCGATTCGTTTGGATTGGAAAGGATTGGCCTGCAAAGCTTAAGTGCCTTTCGCACGGAGAACAACAATCGGAGCTTTTAGTGGAATTTACTTCTTATATTTTGCCCTTTGATGTTTCGCACTTTTCACATTTTCACATTTTCCAAATGTTCGGCGCTCGGCGCTCTGCAGCGTGTGAATGCGCGAAACGTGTTCAAAATTTCACAATTTTCCTTTTTTCGAGCGACTTTTCTTTGCAGCTTAACAATGAGAGCACAAAGCAACTATCGAAAGATATATATATATCGATAGTTGTTGAGAAATTCAAGGAGAACAACTTGACTTAAGTGGAATGAGCTATTATTAAACTTTGCATAGAAATTCTTGAATAAGTCAGTTGCGAAAATGCTGTTAATAGTAATATAATGCTTACTTATATATATATATATGGTCACCCTAAATATCAATATGACGAACATTTTGCAATTCTCGTTAAATTTTCTCTCAAAAATTGTACAAAATTACAAATTTAGTCACACTTTGCTTCGGAATTTCATCTAGCAAAATCCAATTCTCAGAAAATCGAATTCGAATGTATACTTAGTAGAAAACTAGTGACAAAAGCACAAAATCCAATTAGAATTTTACAGAAATTTGGCATCACATTATGAATAAATATAAAAACAGAAATAAAGCAATAAACTATTAATTGAAAAATAAAAAATTAAGAAAAATATTATTTGCATAATACTCGTTTTCTAATATTTAAAAAATGTATATAAAATATATTAATAAATATTTTTTTAATTTTGAATTTTTATAAATATTTTAATTAAATAAATAAAAAATAAAATAAATAATTTTATTAAATAAATAAAATTAAATAATAAACGAATCTGACTACGGACGAAAAGTAATGAAAGTAAAAAAAAAAACAAATCAAATTTTAAATATTTAAATTTAAAAATTAAGTTAATAAATTTAGTTTTTTACTTTATGCGAGTGTTCACTGTGCTTTGAAATTGCAAGTTTAAAATCTTTAGATTTTTTCATTTATTTTCGTTAATAATAAATAAAGATGTTGAGTTTACTATTAAAATTAATATTGAACGTTAACTCTGGACGAGTGTTCACTGTACCATAAAGTCCATATTTAAATATTTAAATTGATATTTAATCTACTTTCATTAATTATAAATAAATATCATAAAATCTCTTATCAGAATTATTATTTATCGTTCTCTTTAGGCGAGTGTTCACTGTACTCACGCCTATGGGCTAGCTATACTCCATGCTTTCTGGCAAACCATTAAATGGGATTTTAATCTTTGCCTCCTTTTCCTGTCAGGAGTTTCCATAGTTTTTCGTTGCTTTTTTCCAGCTGCAACAACAACAACAACAAAGTGAAAATATAAAAAGAAGATGAGGAAGAGGAAGAAGCAGCAAATACTCTGTGCCCTGAGCTCTGAGCTCTGAAGCTGTCACTGTTTTAACAATTCATCTTAATACAAAAAAATAAAAAATGGCGCCGCCAATGGCCAGTCATGCCAAGCGCCACCTACCGGCAGACCCCGCAGCAGCCACAGTCCCAGCCCCACTGCCCTCAGCTTGCCGCTTGCCTATTTGTCACAGTTTCGTTGGCAAAGACGTCGAAGCTGCGGGCGGCTGTTGCAGCCAGTGCTATGTGCCACAAAACTTCTGCCACAAAAACTTGCCATTTTCTCTCCCGCTCTCTCCCCTCTCTATGTGTGTGTGGGACTTACACATGTCAGTTAATGCTGAAAAAATGTTTACACAACACAATTGCCACGAGGGAGGCGACTGTCGCCTGTGGGCGGGGCAAGCGGCCCAGCGTGTGGCCACACGGCTGCCAAAGTTTTAAAGGCCAGCTGCCCCCTCCCCCACTCTTTGTAGTACACTGCAGCAAATGTCGAAGAGGATAAAAGTCGCTCGCATACAATTAATCAAATACATGATTTATATATCGTACGGACTTAACCTAAATAACAAATATATCTTAGGGAGGGAAAGAGAGCGCAAGTGTTTGACCTGTCAACAGGATAGAATAAGAAGTCAACTGTATATTAAAACATTCCAATAAGATGCTTGCGTCTACGCTCACTAAATTAAGTTTTCCAATTGGATAGAGAATACAAAGTACATATGAAAAAAACCTGAAATTAATACACATTACAGGTTATGTGCTCTTATTTACCCTGTAAAATGCAGATACCCTGTAAACAACCAAAATTCAATTTCATAAAACTATAAGAAACAACTCAAACTCACAGCAAACGCAAAACAAACTACTTTCCAATCAGCACAGCACATTTTGAGCGAATTGCTCGAAAAATAAACTCAAATCAAAAGAATTAAAAATGCGCTCAATCATATAATAAATGCGCTCAATTCAAGCATACGCAGCGCTCTTGAGTGCAATTGTGTTAAATACTCTTTAACTCAAGAGCGTTTTAGTTTAAGAGCACACTCAGAAGGTGAGTGAGTGAGTGTGCGAGTGAGTGTGCGAGTGAGCGTGTGTGCGAGCAGCGCGCAACAACAGCTGATGATGCCGCTTGGTAACATATGTTTGCCGTAGCCAAACGAGCGCAGCTGGTGGTAAGTTACTCAGATGATAGAGCAGAGCGGAGATCGAATAGAACAAGCAAGAGAGTGAATAGCGGAGAGGGCAGAGCAGAGGGTGCGGTTGCTCTTACGCTTGCGCCGTTTAGAGTAAATGACACAATTCACGGCCAAGGGGAAAAGTCACTCACTCATGTTAGCGGCAGCGCTGCAGCAGCAGCGGCAGCCGGCAGCGCTGCCTGGCCGGAAAATTGCTATAAAAGCAGCGGCGCATACCGCCGGCCGGATAGTAGCTTTGGAAAACTGCTCCGCCACAGAAGTTGCCGCCCAAGCTCCTCTCAACCGTCGACCGTCAGTCGTCAACCGTGTGTCGTCCATCTTCCACATCGTTTTCTTGGCTGTTGTTGCAAGCTTTTTTTCAGCTGGCAGCGCAGTGCTCGCTCACCCACACACAAACACACACGCACACAAACAGCTGTGAGCAGTTGAGTTGAGTTGAACTGAGTTGAGTTGAGCCGAGTTGAGTTCTGGGCCGTGTTGAGTTGGAAGCAGCAAACACAAGCAGAGCGACTCAATTTCGCTGCCGCCATCAGAGGGCGCCTTCGTCCGGTGTTGCTGTGCAAACGAACGTCCAGTCAAGCAGCGGCCGCCGCACGCAACGCATCAGCTCCAATTGACACGCACGGAGACGGAACGACGCAAGCAGCCAACAGCAAGCAGCAGTAGCCAACCACATGCATAGACACATGTCAGTGTATGTGTGTAGAACTTTAACAAATTCGCAATTCCTTTCCAACAACTACAACAACAACTCAACTTTCAAGTGCTGTGCGTAAATTAAAAAAAGAGAGCGAAAGAGAAAGAGCGACAGATAGCGAGAGCGAGAGCGATGCGAGGCGGCAAATTCGGCTTTTTTAGAATGTATTAAAAAATTTAAATGTTTAACTAGAATAACAAATTTAGTTGTTGATACTTTTTGCAATTATTTGTTAAACGAGCAACAGAGAGATAGAGCGAGACAGAGCGAGAGAGTATGAGAGAGACAAAGCTTCAGTCAGAAAATTGTGTGCCGTAAAAGTAAAACGTGAAATAAAATTAAATAAAAGCAAAATCGGAAATTAATAAATTAATAAAAGTAATACACGAACACACACACACACACAGACATACACACAAACACACGAAAATCAAATCAAATTCTTGTGATTAAAGTGCATTTCTAATACATATATACATAGATATACATATATACACCCACACACACACATACCCAAACCCACACACAAAAAAACGCATCGAAAAACAGCCGCTAAGGAATCCAGTCAACAAAAAAGACTTTGAATGCTGCACAAATATAAATCCAATTGGAGGCAACACAGCAAGCGCAACGAGTGAGAAATTTTTCCAATTGGGCAATGAAGATGGAAGTGCTCTCAGTACAAAATCACATTCAGGGACAATTCGGCGGCATTGGCACAACAAAAGTTAAAGGTGAGTAAGCCAAATGTTGCTATAAATAGAATTAACTTGTATTTTTTGGTATTGTTATCGTAACTCTGTGTGCGTGCGTCCTGTTTAACGCTGAAAAATAACTGTAAAGTGTTGAAGCGTTTTAGTCTTCGACTCTTCGTTGCCACTGAGTTTGAGCCCAAAAAATTTAAGAGAGTGGAAACTACACTCAAATTTAAGAATTTAATTAAGTTCAGCCTTTGCGTTTGATTAGCTAAGATTGTGTTTTTTATAGCTTTGGCGTGGGTTAAAATCGACCAACTTCAGACGTCTAGAAAACAATTTCAGTTTCTTTTGAAATAATGCTTTCATTTCTTTAAGAAAAAGCAAATGAAAACCCAATTTTTAAACAATAATTAAAAAAAATATATTTATAATTTTTTGTTGGCTTATATAAAAAAATAAATATATAATATTTAAATAATATATTTTTTTTTAATTTTCAAATATTAAATTCGTTTAAAAAAAAATTAAGAATTTCAAATTTAAAAAAAAATGTTATTAATTTATATTTTAAACAAATGTGAAAGTTATTAATTTATCGCCCCGCTTAAAATGTAAGAGAAACTGGCTATATTTTTCGACCCCCAAAAAGTGATTTAAAGCTTCATAAAATATCGTTCGAAATTCCAAGTCTTAAGTTTAGAGAAATACTCAAGATTAATGCTGGAATCACACTTGTGACGTAAATGTGTTTTTATTCCCCATTGGCAAATACATTCATTATAAATTATGTATTTTTATTTATTGAAACACATTAGGAAACATTTGCACTACAAATTTTTAATGTGCTTCGCACAATTTTTATTCTTATTCCGTTTTGTGTTTGTGTTTTTTTTTTTTTTTTCATCATTTTTATGGCCTATTTTTTGATTCAATTAATTTTATAGCGCTTGAAAAACTTTTATCTGATCTTTGGGCATTCAAATGTAAAATTTTCCATAATAAACTGAAAATGTTTTTTTTTTCATATATACATATTTATATAGAATGTGTAATATTACGAACGACTCTTGATTTTCAAGGTTTTCCAGTTAATAGAATTAGCTGTGTAATAAATTGAATCTAAGGGAATTTTCTTCCGGTTTCTGTTCGCCAGCTTAAGTAAATGACATGAGATATGAAGTGCCTTTGCATGCATGTTGTTAGGGGTTGAAAGAAAAACGAAATTTGTTTTATGCATTTTTGTGCAACGTGTTTCTTGCCAGTTTTTGCGCCTGGGGAGCAGCAGGAGCAGGAGCAGGCATATCCTGTTCCTGTGTCTGACGTGCGGATTATGCAACATCCTGTTAATCCCTGTCACTTTAAACTTGGTTAACACACACTCACATACAAACACTCACACAAACACTCGCCAAGTCCTGCAAATTAGAACCGAACACGAACCCAACTGGGAACATGAAAACCAGCCCAAAATTCCAGCAGTGGGAGTGGAAGAGAGACAGACGTTGGAGAGGGATGCGGAGCAGCAGCCTTATGTTGACGACAACATGCAACGACATGTCTGCACACACACACACACAAACAAACACAAATGCAAATGCAAATACATGCACATGCACACCTTGCCGCAAGCTTCGCTTCTGCAGAAGCAGCAAAGACAGAACATGCTATCTCACTCTCGCACCGGTTCTTTGGCAGCAATATGTACTTGCATGAGTGTGAGTGTGTATGTGTTTGCAGTCAATTTAATTTCATGACTGACTGGGCGCATGCAATTTTATTTTCGAAGGACACAAACACACATGCATAGGCACGTAATTAGTCATGCATATTCATATGCTATTCAATCTGGGAAATCTAGGAACCAAATAATGTTGTAAAATAAATTACTTAATTTCCTTTGAGTGAACATGTCTGTTCACTGTGTATGTTCAACTTGAGCAGCAACTTAATTGTGATCTTTATTATAAGACTGTTCTGAGCACTTTATGTATACATATTCATATGCACATATAATATGATTTAAGTCAGCTTTAATTCATTGAAAACTTGGACGGTTTTTGGTATTTCTGGTTAAATTCTAGACTATTCTTCATTGAGTATATGGTCACACTTAAATGCATGCTGCTCAGTGTTTGATTAAAGCGCGAGCCGTACGTATGTAAATACACGCAGTTGTGTATGTACATATGTAAAGCATAAATTTCGAGTGTTTTACAACTGTTTTGATTGAGCTTTCGATGAGGATTTATCGCGTGGTCAAAGTATTCATTCCAAGGTATCAATCACACTATTTATTTAAAACTCCTCACTCAAGGCCAAACGCGATATACACTTATGCACTTATGCATACATGACATGTACACACACACGCGCACATATGCCGCAATGCCAGCAGAAGCTTAAGAGTCTTCCTTAGCTACTGCACTTGGAATGATAAATTAGAATGTTCTGTAAAGTAAATTCAAAGCCCTCGCATTAGCCGCAGGTAGCTGCAGACATGTAAATGTGCGTGTTTGTGTGGCAACAAGAGACATGTGTACAATGTATTTATGTACTTGTATATGCGTGTATGCGTATGCATGTTGATGCTGTTGCTAGGCTGTTATTGTTACTGTGTTTCTTGCTGCTGCTGTGGTTGTTGTTTTATATTGGCGATTTTGAATGCATAAAACAGACAGCCGCAAATGTCGCGTGATGTGCCCGCAGTGATGAATAAGACATAACGACGAGGCGGGGGAGACGCTCTCGACAGAATTTGCATGCGTGTATATACATATGTGTGTAATTAAATGTGTATGCGGTCGTTTGTCTGTTTCCTTTTCGCTTTCGCTTTTGACTTTTACAATGTAAAGTTTACACAAACCCTTTTCATGCAGCACTTGACAAAACACGTTTGTGTGCATGTTTGTATGCGTATACATATGTGCACACATATTCATTTGTGACAAACGCAGCAAAAGACATAAAAACAGAAGAAGAGCCGCAAACATGTGCCGTTAATTTCTTAATTACGCGGGTGCGCCTAAAGCGAGCGAACGAGATGGAAATATCCATTCAGCCGTTGCAATAGAATGGCAGTAGGGACGGGGTGTTGGGGTGTGGCGTGGCAGCTGAAAGAGTTTCAGCGCTAATTACATGACATCGTCGAGCCAAGCCAAGTGGTTAATTTGTGCATATTTCAAAGCCCGGGACAACAGTAAGATATTTAACTGTTTTTTATTTGCATACTACATGCACCTTAAATAAACACACTCCATGATACACACACACACGTGCACATATACATATTTTTTAATGTAAAAGATAAACACAAAAGACGGCAAGAGACAGTGGGAGAACATATAAATTATGAGTTGAAATGAAAAGCTACTGAAGAACAAAATGTTAATTAAACGAAAATAAATACTATGGTTTTTATAAAACAGTTGTTATCGTAGGAAAAATGTTATTTATGTTTACCTTAAAATAATTAGACAGAACATTAATCAAGACTTTATATCGACATTTCTACCCACTGTACGGCTGCTGTACTCGGCTTTGGCTTTTGTATTTGTATACTTGAGTATTAAAATAACAGCAAAAGAAATAAAAACTGTGCAGCCAAAGGCAAACGACAGAGAAGACACATAAAGCAAGGCCTGTCGGTCATTGAAACGGGAAGAGGTAGAGGAAAAGGGAGAGGGAGATATGGGACAGCAACAGCAATAGCAATTGCATAGCAAGGCAAAAGCAAACGCAAACGCAAAAGAAACTGCTGACTAACGAACGAGCGAACAAAACGGATGGGGACGGACGCGCAATCGTCAGCTGGAAACGATGAGGCCTCTGGCTCATAAAGCGAAACTAACTGACCGAAAGAGGGGAAGAGTGGCAAAAAAACACATTACCTAATGGCTGAGTTGACTGCTTTAACGGGGGAGGGGAGTGCGCTTGCTGCTTAAGCGAACGGCTGATTTTCCAGCTGTTGTTGCCAGGTGATTTCGAGCCACCCCCTTCCCGCGCCCTGGAAACGTTGAGTGCGTTGTCGAGCCTGCGCATAAAGCGTGAGTGCAAATTTGAGCTTGCGCAAGCTCTTCGAGTGCGAGAGAGCGAGAGAGAAAGAGTGCGCAAATTAATGGGAGCGAATGCAAGGCTTTTGCCGGTGGCAACGCAGACATCAGCTGTTTTTTTTTGTGTGTCTGCTTTACTTACTTTTTTTGTGGTGTTCTGCCGGTCGAAATAAGGTGACTAAATTTGTGCCTTTCCTTATGCTCTATATCCTTGCATTACAGACTGGACGAGTCCGCTAACGGCACCAGCAACTGCAACAGCCGCGGAGGTGAACGTGGCTGACGTGGACGTTGCGAACGTGGACGTGGACGTAGACGTTGATGTTGTGGATGGCCATCCGGCTTCTGTGCTGCACATGCGTCAGCATCAGGCGCTCAACACCCGCCCGCGGCTCTCCTCATCATCGTCCGCCTCCTCGACGGGCGCCAACGCCACCGTCGGCATCAAGGCCCCCGCCTGCCCAATGGCGGCCAGCTTCGATATGTTGAATGGAGGCAGTGCAACCGCTGGTTATATGTCGAACGTATTGCAGGCAGCACCGCAGACAACAGCGCTGCCCGCTTCGCCGCTGCAGTCGACTCCATCCGCACGCTTCGGCGCCATCGATAATCTGGACGACGTGAGCGCCATTGCGGTGCAAGAACTTTCGCAGCAGTTGCAGGCCAAGCTGCGCGATGCCAAGAGCGAGCATCTCGCCTGTACCGAGGTGACGTTGCCTAACAATTTGATGCAGCGAATTGCAGCCGAAATCATTCGCATGTCGGAGCGAGAGCCGTGCGGCGAAAGAGCCTGCACCATATTCATCGAATTTGAGAGCGAGCCGAACAACGTCAGGTAAACAATTGATCAGCACAAATAGCGAAGATCGTAAAACTAACTCTCTCTCTCTCCCTCTATAGACGTATTGCTTCGTTTAAAGTGGACCCGGACACGGTTTCCATATTTGAGCTTTATCTAACGTTGAAGCAGGACAAGCGAGGCTGGTCCAGCCTGCTGCCAAAGCTGCTCAAGTGAGCTTTTTACATTTAAATGAGAATAGAGCTTTTACTTACAGAACTCCCTCTCTCTCTTTCTCTCTTTCTTTCTCTTATATAGATATATAACACGCAGCAACACGATTATGATCAGTCCCGATTTTACTTTGACCAAGAACAAACTCTACTCTCCAAGTAGAGGCAGCATCATATGAGGCATATGGAAGGCGTAGACGTGGACGTGGGCATGGTTGATGGTATTTTGGATGCTGCACTTAAATCATTACACAAATCCCTCCGAACAAGTAAATGAAAATAAAAGAAGAAGAGCAGCGAATGTAACAGCTCCAAACGTTGTACCAACTCACGTCTGCGTCCTTAACAAAACCCATCCAAAACAAACAAAAAACAAAAAAAATTTATTAATTTAAAAGAAACAACAAACCCATAAAGAGGCAAACTTTGGACCACAATTCAACAAATCCTGCAAAACAAAAACAAACAACAAATCAACGCAACACTAGGAGAAATAATAATAATAATAAAAACAAACCCAACAACAAACAATTATGTATTTTGAGACCTAAAAATCCTAAAAACAAACAAAAACAAATCAACTGCAGTTGCAGGCAACTCAAAACTCTTATTGGACTGACTTTTTGGCTTATAAACAAAAAAGGAACTTTTTGAAACAAAAACAAAAAATCAAATATTGAAAATATTGTAAACAAAAAAAGGAAAATTGTCACTCAGTGAAAACGGTTGCCGGTTATCCGTTTTTAAAAAACAAAAGCAAAACAAAAAAAAAAGAAACAAAAAGCAAAAAACCTCCCAGAAATGTATAAGAGAAAAAAAGAGAGTATTAATCGTATAAGTATATTACGAGTGTATCAGAGAAGACGAATACAAATTTCTATATGTATGTACATGTATGTATATATGTATATGTATATGTATGTGTATATGCAAGCGTCGCTGATATGCTTATGGATATGTATGTATGTTTTTCTTCAGGATCTTATTAGGCTATAAAATCTCTATATATATATATATATATAAAACAGTATATATATATATACATATATATGAATATATATATGTATATAGGGGGAAAAAACAGAGCAAACAATAAGTAAAAAAGAGAGTTGATGCAAAACAACAAAATATATATAAATAATAATAATGAAAAGAAAAAAACAAAGTTGATGTGATATTATATAATAATTATGAATATTGAAACACAAACAAACACACACACACACACTCATACACGCATACTTAAAAACAGTTAAATTTAAAATATCTTTGCAAATTTGTTTATAACAAATTCTCATTACATTTTTCTTTATTTTTTATAATTAATTTGTTTAAAAATCATGTTATTTTTCTTTTTTCTTTTGGATTTCAATTAAAACAGATTTTTCTTTTCTCGTGCAGAGTTTTAAACTCTGGCTCTACATAGATATATACAATATATATATATATAAAATATTTATAATATTTGATGTGTTTCTAGCTTAAGATTTTAATATTAAAACAGAAAACAAAGCAGAGAATTCAATGTGTGTAGCTGTGTATTTAACTCGTAGTTTAGTTTAAACAATTACAAATCAACAAACAAACAAACAACAATTGGCATTGCATTAAACAATAATATATGCTTAACGTACAGTGGGGCAGCTAAATGTATTTGTGAGTAAACTTAAAATTAAACAAGGAAAAGCATAAGAAAACAATTTGAATGTTAAGCTAAAGAGGAAAGCAAAATGTTTGGGAAAGAAATCTATAAAGTCATCTGTGTTAATAAATTTTAAAATAATTTATAGCGTAGCGTAAAGAAAATACAAATTAAAAATTAATAACTAAACAAATTCTAAAAGCCGATTAAAACACTTTTATAGCTGCGAAAGCAAAAGAAAAAAAACAAAAACAAACAACAATACAAAAGTATTTGACAAATTTAAGCAAAAATATAATTAAACAATTCACACACACACACACACATGTGCAACAAACAGAATTTACTTATACTTTAAACAATAATAATAAATTTAAAAAATAACCCAAAAAGATCTCGCTACAAAAATCCTTGCAGCTGGCTTAAAAATAAATAAAAATTAAAATATTTATATAACAAAAATTTAAACATTTTTAAAGCTGCACTCTACAAACAAACAACCAGAAAAACAATAGTAAAATATTTAAACTTATTCCGAAAAAAAACTGCAAGGATATTTAATTTAAAAACTAAAATTAAAAAAAAAACTCATATTAAAGTAGAGAAAAAAAAACGAAAGCAAATACGCATTTTCTTTAGACTTGGTTAAAATTTAAAAAATTAATAAACATGTAAATAAAAAAGAAAACAAAAACAAAAACAAAAACAAAGCAAGTTCTAAGCGTATTTAATGTATTTAACGTAAAGGCGAAAGTTTAAACAAATGTGAACATAAAACTATGCGAACAAGTGAAGGAAATAGAACCATGAATGTGATCTATTTAATAATTAACAAACGAATAGAGAACTAAAAACATTAAACATTAAAAATTAGTGGCAACAAAATCAGTTGACAAATTTCATTTGCATTTTCCTTTTAATAGAGTATTAATAAATGTAAAAACTTTTAATTTGTAGAGCTAAACGAAAGCAAAAACAAAAACAAAACTCTTTAATGTCTTTTTCCTTTTACTTAAATGCCAGGCTTAAAAATAATATTAAAAAGAAAAAACAAAACAGAAACTGTAGAATGCGACGCTTTAAATGTTTTTCTGTTTCCTGTTATTCTCTCTTTTCTTTTTATCATAAACAATTTGAATTTGTGTAGTTTTTGAGTTCTCGTTCTTCAACGGATGGATGTATGCAACAAGATGAATCTTAGACACGTCCAGTGCTCCTCAAAGTATTTGTAAACAATAATGATATATGGTTAATATCGAAATACCAAACTATGAATAGTTGTGCACACATGCATAGCTGTGTGTGCATATGTGCATGTATGTGTGTAGAGCTTTTGCGTACTCCTCTATATATATATGATATGATATGATACGTATGTGTGTGTGTTAAAAGGGAACCAATTAATGCATTCAAAGAAAAACTAAAATTTAAACAATAATCAATCAATTAGAAAACGCCTCAAGTAAAATATATAAATATATGTATGAAGCAAAGTACACTTAAACAAAATACTAGTAAATTCTTCTTCAACTATTTTTAGAGCAGAGCACATCAAATACTTAAATGAAAAATCCAACTGCTGCGCCTCACTCATTCCACACACATTAAAAAAGGAAAATAAAAAGTAAAAAATAAAAAATAAAAATAAAAAATTTAATAATTAAATGTATTTAAGCGATTATCCCACCATGTGATTTAAATACTGAAAAACCTTAATTTCAAAACACAAAATTCAAATATTACAAAAATATATTCAAAACTTTTGATGTTGAAATTTGTTTTGGGAATCGAAACACAACAAAAAAAAAAATAATGAAAATTAAAATGAAAATGAAAATTTTGTTGCAAAGACTCGAAAACAATCACAAAAAGATTAAAGATGCCATGGCTAAATCGAGTTTCTCTCAGTGTATTGTCATTGCTTTCTCATCAGTTCGAGCCGAACGACCAAGAAAATAAGAAGAAGAAAATATAAACTCAACTTAAGTTAACAAAGTTGATAAGAACTCAATGTTGTAAACCAAGTAGCTACGCATACATATATATATATATATATATATATACATATGTTTGTATATATATATACATATGTGACTAAGTAATGTTTAACAATTTCCATATATTATATCTACAAAAACAAAAACAAAAACAAATTGTCGAAAATCAAGTGAAAAGCGTTAAGGCCTAGAGAAGAGGAAGCAAACAAAGCAAATGCAAAAGCAAAAAAAAAACAATATTATATATATATATATTATGTATACACGTGTGTATGTAAAACAACAACAAATTTAAACTTTAGTAGCGCTTAACAAATTCTAGCAATTTAACAAATTTTAATTAATCAAAATATGAACAAATATATATACATATATATAAACAAAACAAAACAAAACAAAACAAATGCAAACAAACTGCAATTTCATTTTTCTCTGTGTAAAAGTTGAGTAAAAAAATAAAAAAATCCAAAAAAAAATAAATTTTTTAAATGTGAAAAGCAAACTTGTTTTTATTTCAACTAGAATTAGGCAGGAAAACAGCTTGTGGTTGCTGTATCGGCTAAGCGCTTTTAGTCTGGTGTCGCACACCAGTTGCCCAACTGCAACCAATAGCAGCTGCGCGTTCTCACACTGACTCTAGATCCTAGCGAAGCTTTTTACTGAGCCAATCAGCTGAGAGCAAGCGTCGCTTCAAGTTCGTGTCGCAGCTCGGCTTGAACTAACTGATTGTGCGCGCAGGCTTCGTCATTCGTTCAACGTTGCTTGGCCGCAGAAGACGCGTTTTCGCTGCGCCGTTGCCCAATTCGCCGTGACTCGCGTGTGTCTGTGTTGTTGTTATTATTGTTGTTGTTTCTTATTGCATTTCCGAACAATTGTAACAGACTGAGCTTTCAAGCGAAAATAATGCTAGTTCTATGATAGGTATGTGCAATCAGGCTCTATATCATGCCGAGTATTTGTGTCTGTGTGTGTGAGTGTGATATGTATTGCAGATAAGCCTAGCTGCTCTTGCCCTTCCAAAATGTCAACGTAATCTCAGAAATCTAGTCTTTTGTTAAGTCTCCTGCATTCACATTCGGTTTCATGTTGCGGCATTTCTTTGAGCCAAGACTAATGAGTGCCGTCTCCTCCCTCTCTCTCTCTCTATCTCTCTGTGTGTGTGTATGTGCATAAGTAATTCATATGGATACCAATAAATGAGTTGGAATAGTCGCCTGCTGAGATCGTCTATCTGCAGGAGCCGCAGACGCGCCCAGCCCAGCCCGGCTAAAATTAGCTAATCGATGCCAGGCAATCAGCCAGGCTTAAAGCAGGACCAAGCTCAAATCCAATTAGTCAACTTCAAGTAATTGACAATATCGACCACTAGATAAGCCTCTCAGTCGCCCAGCTCATAAACAATGGAGCTCAGCTCAGCTCCGCTAATTACATATAAAACGCAGATTCTTTGAGATCGCAATCAAAGTTCCTGACAAAGAAACTTTAAATGGATTTTAAGATATCATCAATTATGATTCTATAAACTATATATCTATATATTATCTATATATATATATATAGTATCTATATATTTTATTTAAGTATTTCGAAGCTATTTTTATTAAAGGTACTTTGGATTATTTACCACTTAGAACAACAAATTTAAAATATATTTAAAATATCAAAACATATCTATATTCAAGTTGGTTTAATTTTCTTTTCAATTCATTCATTAATTTTAACATTTAACTTTGAGCCAGACTAAAATTTCTATAGAGTCCTACTATTTATTTGTTTAATTTCAAAATTAAATAATAAAAATATATGCTGAAAATAATTATTTATAATAACAATTATTAAAAGGAATATTCCGTAATTGGACATAAATTGGAAATAAAGTGAAAAAGTTGTAATATTTATAAAAATTTATTTGGGTTACATAATTATCTATTTATGTACATTCATTTTTGAGTACTTCAAGAACTTCCAAATTTAAAAATATCATTTTTTAAATATATCAAAAGTAAGCATATTTTTATTATTTTATTTATATGTTTTTATTATTTATTTATTTTTTTTTTATACGAATTTTAAGTTGGTTAAAGATCTCAGATAAATTTTTTTATTTACTATTGTTGTTTATTAATTTACCTTACTTTCTTTATAAATTTTTTATTAATTGAAATATTCAAATTTATAAAGAAACAAAAACTAACAACAATTCGCATATTTGAAATGCGGTTAAATTTGTTTGTTGCTTATGCTTTTTTTTGTAATTTTTTTATTTTATAAAGTTAAAAAATTACAAATTTTTTCAAATAAATAAATTTATGATTTTCTCAAAATTCAATTTTATATAGAATTTTAAGTAAAAGATTTTTCTTATATTTAACAATCATATTTTAATCACTATATATATATATATATATATTTTATTATATATATACATATATTTTAATATATATATATATATATATATATATTTCTACTTGTGTTTATATTTTTTATAAATGTTTTAGAGCATTTAAAGATTTTTAGCTTTGCTTCAATTTAAGTCTAGCTCTGTGGACACTTTTCCCGGCAAAAATCGCAATCAGAAATATTTCTTAGTTATTCCAAGAGAGAGCTGCATTCATAACATTTATGCAATCTTAGAGCTAAGGTAGATCCATATGCAAAGAGTTCGTGGAAGTAGCCAGGCCAAGCTGTGTTGGTGGCCTGGTGCCCAGATGCAGATGCAGTGCAGCGATAAAGAGAGAGAGAGAGGGAGACAAAGAGAGGCTGGGTTGGGGTATGCTCAGCTCTGTTCTGTTCTGGCTAATATTTTGGCCAGCTGAAGAGGCAGAAGCAGAGGCAGAGCTAGAGGCAGGTCTTTCAACCGGGTCGAGAGTTGAGCTTGAGCTTGGGTTTATGCAATTTGAACCGTTCGATTGGCCAAGCACTGGCCAGGGCTCTACCCAGAAGCGGGTCCGTCTCTCGTGTGTTTGTTTTTGTTGCTTTGATTTCGCTGACTGGCGCCTGTCAGCTACCGTTGGCCCCTCGCTGGGCCATGACTCATTTTCTGCATGTTTCTCTACAACTTTTTGGCATTGCCTGCTCAATTGGCAATCGCATTCCCAACATATCAATTTGCAACTGAAATTAACACTTGCTTGGCCCCACTTCGTCTTCGTGCCACTTTGTTTGTACTTTTTTAGCACGTGCCCTTAACCCCAGACAGCCCCAGCGGGTGCGGCATGGAGCGCAGCAGCAGCAGCAACAGCACCGAGCCACCAGCGGATGTGGAGCCCAGCCCCACGCCCAGCTGCGATGAGCCGCCACCTCTGGCCACACAAATCACCTCAATCGACGGATTCTTCAACCGCAAGCGCGGCCGACCGCCCAAAAATCGATTTGTCGAAGTCTATAAGAGCGTAAGTGATAATACTAGAACTTAGAATCGCCATTAGCCATGCTATAATATAACTTTATATATGCTATATAACTTTATACAATCCATCATTAATCATTTTAAAATAAATTAAGCGCTGAAGAATTGCCTAAATTAATTGTTATATTTTTGTGCATATAACAGTTTTATAACAGTCCATTTGTATTATATCTTATCTTATATATTTTATATTATATTATATATATATATTTTATTTTTTATTTATATATATATTTTTAAATAATTGGAAAATCTAACACGATTTGATTGAGATTATTTTCCATGAATTTGGATTGCTTCAACTTCAAGTTCAGCTTCAACTTCAACTTCAAGCTTAACTTTTTTTTACTCTATTTAAGCATATTTTAATTGGCTTTAGATAGAACTACGAACTAGCACATAAACTGTGATTAAGCTGTCTGTTTTCCTATAAGAAGATCGTCTCAAGTCTAACGTCAGCAAACTGCGGCAGCGAGTGCTTCGCCTTGCTGTAACCATTTGAGAATTCTATGCTTGAGCTTTTGCCAATAGATTCTTTCATATACACAACTATATATATAACTCTATTATTTAACTGATTGATATGGAAAACTCTTGTGATTTTTAGTCGTGCTATCAATAGGGTTTCTTGGGCTGCGTCTCGATGTTCCTTTTCGGCTTGTCTAGTCCGCGACGCGCCCTAGCTAAAGGCAATGCATATTAAGACTCTCACACACACACGCACACACACGCACACACACTTACACATTGTAATTAGGAATTTGCGCCTATTTGCGTGCTGCGTCGCGTCGCAATGGATTGCCAGCGGACTAGGCGGGTGGCGGCAGGTGGAGGTGCCATCAGCCATCGATGGGGCCTAATGCGGCATTTTATGTGCCGTGTGTTGAATTGAGTTTTTCGGATTTGGTTTTTGCCATATTCGTCATATTAATATTGACAACGAGTGTTTCCGCATTTATTTCACTTGCCTGTCTGCGGCCACGCCCCCCGCTACACCGCGCCGCCCACCAGCGAGACAGTGGAGCTCGTCGAACGTTTTGTGCTTTTAACTGTCATTTTCATAATTTCTACATTTTTGAGCCCAGTTTGTCGGCACACACACACACACACGCACACACACTCAGCGACGATTACACAGCCCACGCGTCAGCCTCTACTGACGCGGGCGCTGGCAGTGGCGGGGCAGAAGGGGGCAGGGGCAGGGGCAGGTGTTGGCCAAGTACACACAATTGTACTTGGGCTCTCTGTGAGAGACGTTTATTTTGTCGGTGTGAATCGAATAATTTGAATAAATATTTTGTCCATTGCCTTTTGCGGTATTCTCTTTTTTGTTTTACTTTTTATTATTTTGATTCTTTTTAGCTTAAGGCGAAGGGGGGGGGGGGGGTGGGGAGCTCAAGCTAGCGACGCGATTGAGGACTGCGCGCTACTAGAGACCTACATTTGAGTGTTACTTCGATGTAGTTGACAAGAATTCAACTTTTACTTGAATTTAGTATTTAAATTTTAGACTTTGAGAAGTTTATTACTTGAGAGAGGAGGCAATATATTAAGCTCTTAGAGCAGAGGAGACACCTCTTAAAGGAAGGAGTAAAGAGTTTAGAAACTAAGGTTGATATACTTAAATTAGTATATGGAATAATGGAGAGGCAGAGATAGAAGAAGAAGAAGCAGAGAGAGAGATAGAAAGAGAGAGAGAGGGAGCGAGATAGAGAGAGAGAGAGAGCGAGATAGAGAGAGAGAGAGAGATAGCGAGAGAGAGAGAAATATAGACCGAGACTGATCACTACAGGCCTATATTTTCTTTTAAAAGAGAGACGGGAGAATAGAGAGGGGAAACAGAGATCGATATAAATATATGCATATATAGAATAATAGGGAAAGAGACAGAGAAAGAAGAAGAAAAGAGAAGAGGGAGATAGAGTGAGAAAGAAAAAGTTGAAAATATAGACAGATATACAAAAAGAGAGAGATAGGGAGAAAGAAAGAATAAGAAACAGCTGGACAAAGAGAGAGAGAGATAGAGAAAGAGAAAGATTGTGCGAGTAACTGGAGTCGCAGAAATAGAGGGTATAAATGGGAATAGATAGGCAAATAGGTTGTCCAAAATAATGATTTCCCATTCAGGGATCAGTGTATAAAAAGCACAGAAAATAGGGATAGAGAGAGAGATAAAGAAAGAGCGAGAGAAAAGGAATAACAAAAGAAGAGTGAATAGTAATGAAAAGATTTAGATAAGGAAAGCAATTGTGAGCTCGTCAGATTAGGCTAAGATACCCTTAGAAATATTAAGCCTATGCGTAATATCATTTCAGATACTCGCAGGCGCCTGCAGTGCAATAGACATCAATCATAATTATGCTATTCAACGATAAGTTGTTGCATTAGTTTCGTGGCGACCCTCTGTGACCGCCACCGCCAGTCGAAAATGACGATTAAAAGGAATGAAACAACTACAAAAACTTCTATATATTGTATTTAATCATATAAGGTATGTGTACTTATATGAATGAGTCTATATATGCGGGTGTGTATGCGTGTGTTCATGCGTGTGTGTGCGACAACTTATCAGGTAAAGCCAAACACGTTTCATTGTCTGTTTTTTTTTTCAATCTTTTGGAGTAATTATTAATTATAGATGCCCTCGTCGCAAAGCGATTTACCTATGCTCTGCTCAAATTTAGTTGAAGAAAAGTTGGTTTTATTTGATGTAGTCCACAAATGGATTTCTTACGGTCCACATAGCGGGACTTATGAAATTTATTTCTAATTTTCTAACTAAATTGTAAAATACTTTGAAGTTTTCTACAAGACTTTCGTTTGACCATTTGTGGTTAGGGTATTCAAAAGTTGGCCTTACTGAGTTGGTTTTCTGGTTTCTCTTTTTGTATTTGGTTTTTATTTTGTTTATGCGCTTATTTTTTTTTATATATTTTTATTATTGATTTTGATGCGTGAACAAAATTTAAATAGTGACATTTTGGGCCAACAATAAACATTAACAGTAATTTCGGAAATAATAAACTGGTTGCGACTGTTTGTCATAAATCCGAAACTATGACAAAAGCAACAACAACAGTAGCCACAATTACAACAACAACAACAACAAAATCAAGTACAGCAATGCCAAAGAAATTCAATGAAACACCGCCCACAACTTTCAAGGGGGCTGCAAGAAGAGATTACCAATAATTTAGCTATAGTAGAGACTTACAATATAATCCCTATAAAAATAAATACTTCAGATGACCTCATTGATCTCAGGGCGTAACCAGCTCTAAGGCATTTCCGCTCCAGAATAAAATATATTTCATACCTTTCTATCATATAAGAAATGCTTCTATTATTTATTATCTATTATCTATCATCTATTATCTATTATCTATTATCTATTATCTATTATCTATTATCTATTATCTATTATCTATTATCTATTATCTATTATCTATTATCTATTATCTATTATCTATTATCTATTATCTATTATCTATTATCTATTATCTATTATCTATTATCTATTATCTATTATCTATTATCTATTATCTATTATCTATTATCTATTATCTATTATCTATTATCTATTATCTATTATCTATTATCTATTATCTATTATCTATTATCTATTATCTATTATCTATTATCTATTATCTATTATCTATTATCTATTATCTATTATCTATTATCTATTATCTATTATCTATTATCTATTATCTATTATCTATTATCTATTATCTATTATCTATTATCTATTATCTATTATCTATTATCTATTATCTATTATCTATTATCTATTATCTATTATCTATTATCTATTATCTATTATCTATTATCTATTATCTATTATCTATTATCTATTATCTATTATCTATTATCTATTATCTATTATCTATTATCTATTATCTATTATCTATTATCTATTATCTATTATCTATTATCTATTATCTATTATCTATTATCTATTATCTATTATCTATTATCTATTATCTATTATCTATTATCTATTATCTATTATCTATTATCTATTATCTATTATCTATTATCTATTATCTATTATCTATTATCTATTATCTATTATCTATTATCTATTATCTATTATCTATTATCTATTATCTATTATCTATTATCTATTATCTATTATCTATTATCTATTATCTATTATCTATTATCTATTATCTATTATCTATTATCTATTATCTATTATCTATTATCTATTATCTATTATCTATTATCTATTATCTATTATCTATTATCTATTATCTATTATCTATTATCTATTATCTATTATCTATTATCTATTATCTATTATCTATTATCTATTATCTATTATCTATTATCTATTATCTATTATCTATTATCTATTATCTATTATCTATTATCTATTATCTATTATCTATTATCTATTATCTATTATCTATTATCTATTATCTATTATCTATTATCTATTATCTATTATCTATTATCTATTATCTATTATCTATTATCTATTATCTATTATCTATTATCTATTATCTATTATCTATTATCTATTATCTATTATCTATTATCTATTATCTATTATCTATTATCTATTATCTATTATCTATTATCTATTATCTATTATCTATTATCTATTATCTATTATCTATTATCTATTATCTATTATCTATTATCTATTATCTATTATCTATTATCTATTATCTATTATCTATTATCTATTATCTATTATCTATTATCTATTATCTATTATCTATTATCTATTATCTATTATCTATTATCTATTATCTATTATCTATTATCTATTATCTATTATCTATTATCTATTATCTATTATCTATTATCTATTATCTATTATCTATTATCTATTATCTATTATCTATTATCTATTATCTATTATCTATTATCTATTATCTATTATCTATTATCTATTATCTATTATCTATTATCTATTATCTATTATCTATTATCTATTATCTATTATCTATTATCTATTATCTATTATCTATTACCTATTATCTATTATCTATTATCTATTTTATTATTTATTATTTCAGGCTCAACAGTCACCACAGGCCATCTTCACTAGCTTCAAATTGGAGAAAAATGAGCCATCCTCTGGCTATGGCTTGGCGAGCTCCTCCGATGCAGCCGAAGAGCGCCTCAGACTTGGAGTTGGCGCTGGGGAATCGACTGCAACAGATCTCACACCTAGTCGTAGCAGAAAGAGAGCCCGCGTTTGGTCTGTGGACCTGCACAGAAGTCTCACAAATGTGAGCAGTGCGAGTCCTGGCGTGGAGAGGACGAAGAATACTTCAACCAGGGAGTTGCCTGAGAGAGACAGATCACCTATTCCAGTGAGTTTTAATGCTATTACTTTAATAGAAAGTATAAGCTATATGATATATATGTATCAGAATGTGATTTGATATGATATGATGCCGATGATGTAATGATATAAAAATATGGATAGCATATGATAATGATATAATACAATATATCATTCAGCATATATAAGTTATCTTTTATTCTAAAGGCAATAGAGTTTATCGAACAAACATGTTAGAACACCCTTACATAGATTATTATATACAAATCTATTATTAAAATCTTTGTTATGCTAGATATTTTGTATATCATTAAAACTCAGCATATTTAGCATGTTTCTAACTGCTTTTATCTACCAGTTTACCGCATCAGAGTTATCATAACTATATAATATAAATAGGTATACAATGTAAATGCATTGAAATATATTTAAGATTTGTGTGAATATTTATCTGATATAGAAACTAGGCAAACCAAGATTTCTTTAGGAAGGAAAATGAGGATTGAGTTACGATGGTATATATAAAGAGATCTTTACTTTACTTGACTGTGAATACAGTTCATGAATAGATAGTTTTCAGATGATCTTAGATTCGATTCTTATCTGCTAGATATAAAACAAATAAATATATAACTTACAACAATTATGTATTTTGTTTAAATGCAGATGATGTTTAGCACGCCTAGCACGCAGCCGGCTGCTGCCAGCAAGCCCGTGGAGCGAGTTTCCGGTACGTAAGCCCTATATACTATATATATAAATCTAATGAAATCTGGCTTGCTTCAGTTGTTCGCGCCGCGGGCACCTTCTATCCAGAGAACGCCAGCTCAACTCAGGCAGCAGAGCTAACGGAGTCCTCCGCCAGATACTGTTCGCTGCCCAACATAGAGTGCGTTGCGGATCAGCCGGAAGATCTGAGCATGCGCGGCAGCCAAGCGGGCGCAACGGGTGGGCGTGGCGAGCCGGAGACGAAGCTATTGCAGTTCAAGCAGCTGCTCGACCTGTATCAGCGTCAGGTGCTGTTGCCCAGTTTCCTGGCTGCCGCCAGTCAACCTGCTGCACTGGACATGCGCCTGCTGCTGGAGAATGCGGCACAGCAGAAGATGCTGCTGATCAATGCGGCTGCAGCGGGCGCTGTAGCAGCAGCAGCGGCCGCAGCAGCAGCAACAGCAGCGACGGGCACAGCAGAGGAGAGCGCAACAGCTCCCAGCGCAGCAGTGCCAACACCCGCTCGAGCCACTAGCAAGCGGGCACGGGATCAGGACATACCCACGGGCTACCTCAAGTTCCGCTTCAATGAGGATTGCGGCTTCGAGCGCTGCGGCTATCGCAACCACCAGTCGCACTTCCACTGCAATCGACGCGATTGCCATTACAGCTTCTGCGACAAGACGCGCTTCGTGCAGCACACGGCGCGGCACGAGCGCATGGACAGTCTGATGGGCGAGGACTTTCGCCAGTATCGCGCGAACATGCGCTGCGGCGTGCCCGACTGTTGCTATGCCACACAGGCGGCAACAGCAAGTGCGGCAGGTAGGTGGGCAGGTCCATCTACGCTCAATTTCAGTTCGCCAGCTAATCCAACTTTTTCTTCCACCCAGACGACGGCTTGGCCTTGACGGCGCCCAAGAAGTCCTCCCACTTCCATTGCCGTAAGTGCGACTATGTGTGCACCGACTCCAACAAGGTGGTGGCCCATCGTCGCCTGCACCTGCGACTCGAGTATGTGCGCTCGGCTGGCTTCAGGAAGGTCGCTAGCAACGAGTCCTGCGAATCAGCTGGCTGCACCTATGCGCTGCGGCACACGCACTACCACTGCACCACCTGCGACTGCAGCGTGCTCTCACGCGCCCAGCTAGCCTCGCACAGGCACAGGACACTGGCTCAGCCCGCCAAGCAGCTGGCGGAGAGCGCTGCAGACCTGGCTGCATATCCTTAGGCTAAGTGTTCAGCAAAAGCAATAGAAGCCATACAAATCCAAATGCAATATGTAAATTAGATCAAATTAAATGAAGCTAAGTGACAAACTACAACTCGAAAGATCGATAACTATTGGAAATCGATAAGCGATTGTTGGCTAGATGTGGGCACAGCCTAAGCCTAGTTGGGTGGGTTTCAAGGGGATTCCTATGCTCTTTTCTACTTTAACCATAATTTATCTGTCTAAGTTTTTCATATTGAAAGCTTAAAGATACCTTTTATGATCTATATTTAATAGTTAGTTAATATAGTAGATGCGCTCATCAGTATTTAATGAATGAACTTAGAGACAAGGACTCGAGACTCCAATACAAGCTTTTTTCTCTGGAATATATTTCAGATTGAATATTTATACAAAGCGCGCTTTCGTAACTCAAGCAAGAATGCCTCAAGCAAGATTGTTTTTAATTCAAGAATTTTCTATATTTATATTTTTTATATATATTTATATTTAAATATATATTTAAATAAAATAAGTACAAAAAAGATTTATGCTGTGCTAAGAGTCTCCACGTTTCTAATCAATTTATTCATTTAAGAGTTACTACTCTTGGGTTTTGACTAGCTTTAATTATCATAAGCTTGATGGACGTATTCAATATTGACTCGATTTCGACGCTTTTGACACCAATTTTGTATGTAGTCAAAGAGTGAGCGCAGAAAGATAAAATAGAACAGTTCCCCAATGAAAACCACGCTAAACCCAAACATGAGGCTCATAATGCCGCCAGTTAGAGCTGCGAAAAAGAAGGCAGATTGGAATAATATCATATATATATATACATATATATATATATATATATAGGAAACATACACATGTATTCCGTGAGACCCGTGTAGGATGATCTCACATGGCTGCGAAAGTAGTCGTTGTCGTGATAGAAGTTGACTATGGCCAAATTGTTAATGATGAAATCGGCTGAGAAGTTTTTGAAGTAATCGTTCTGAAAGCTGACGCCCTCGTGCCTGAAAGGTATGGTGGGTATGCTGAAGGGATTGGGAAAGTAGGTGACATCGTGGCAACTAGCCAGGCAGAGCTCCTTGCACGCCGTACTCTCGCCATCCACGTTCGTCAGCTCAGCCCGATTCACGCAGTCGAAGTTCTCGATGTGGCAAACGGTGGCATTCCGATAGATCAGCGGCAGATGATAGGGTATGCACTTGCAGAGTCTGATGAAATAGAGCGCATCGCACTCCGCCTCGCAGTTGCGGCGCGTGTAGTACTTGTAGAAGATAAGCTCCTGCTCGTCGCTGAAAATGCATTGGCGTCTCTTGCGGTCGATCTTGCGTATGGTTTGGACAGCTTCGTAGCTATTGGGCACGATGCGATAGTTGGTTTCATGGCCCAGCATGATGGGTAAACCGGATTCCTTCAAGCGTGGCTGGTCTATGGAGTTGTACAAGAGCACCTAATAAGCAATGAGGGAGAGAGTATTAGAGAACCTTTAATACAGAACAGCTATAGATGTATAGAGATGTATCTAAGGATCAAGAGAGTATGTGTGAATGAGCAAGAGAGTAGAATAGACTTAAGCAAAAGTATCTTAGAGTGTAGTCCAAGAGGGCTTATAAGACCTGAGACTTAAAGGTTGCAAAGAGCAAGCTCCAGAAGAAGCATTAGAGGAGAGTATATATATCAGTAAGGTAAGAATCGATTATAAGTTTAATTCTGCACACATCAGATTATGTAATTTATATATAGAGTACATAGATTTTATTAAAAATATTTCCATAACTCAAACCTTAAATCCCTGTCCATTCGTCGAGGAGCAATAATATTCATCTGTGTGGCCATTGAGCACGATTTGTAGACCATTGTAAATGCCTATGCCAATGCCTGGACGTGGATAATATCCAGCAGGCAGATGTTTTGGATAGCCCTCGATAGGATTCCAATCTACAGCAATATCCGTGAGACCCTTGGAGGAGGTGTAATCGCGTAGGGTAGAGTCACTGAATGCCAAAGAAAATACAATGAAAATATATAAACAAAAAAGATCTGAAAATATTATGATCTATTAAAAATAATAGTAAAATAAAACTAAATTAAATTTTATTTATTTTTTAACTTGAGTGAAACACGTTAAAAATCTAAGAAAAAATATAAAATATATTTTTAAAAATTATAAAAAATAATTAAATATATAGATATATAAATAGAATATATAGATATAGATATATCGTCTACCTGTGCTTGTATAAATAGTACGGATGCAAAAAATTGAATATGCAGCAGAGGCCTTCGTCCACGAAGATCTCCCGGAACAGGTCCGTGCAGGGCAGAGTCTTCTGGCCAAACTTGCAGGAGACAATCATCTCGTCGCACTTATGCGAAATATTGAAAATGAAGTTGGCAAACGTGTTGCTCTTGGAACGTGGCTTAAACGAGCTGAAGCGCGCGTAGTCGAAGTCCTGATTGCAAGCCTTCTGCAGCATCGCATGCTTCACAGAGCCACTAAAGCAACGCAAACATTAAGCATATTAAATATATCAAAGTTGTCCACGGGAGTTCCTTACTTCTGAAAGCTGGCCACAAACGACTTCTTGGCCTTATTCATGCTGCACACAGTTATCGCCGGGAAGGGTATGTCCTGTATTGGTGTCAATGTTGGGCTAGTGCCTATGATGACTGGCGTGCTCTGCCATTTGTGGAACACATTCACAGCCAGATTTATGGCCACGTAAACAGCGACTATGAAAACCTTGGCAAAATAGAATTGAACCCAACCGGGTAGCTCGTTATTCCAGACATACTTCAGGCCCTGCAAGGATGTGTTGCGCAGAAACTCCTTCGACTTCCGCTCGAAGCATTGCCACAATGTTTTTAGCACTTGCTTTTGTACAGACATTTCCCGGCGAAGTCTGTGTCACCTGTGTTGCTTACCTGCTTATATAGGTGAGCAAATCATTTAAAATGAATTAACCAATTGTTCGCTTGTAAGTCTAATATTGATTACTCAAGTCCTAATGACTTTTGGTGTATATAATTTAGGCGTAGAATGAAAATAATATAGCATACCCTAAGTGATTGAGATTGCTTTGCGCGCATTGGATTACCTTGTGCTTAATTACTAAGATATATTAAACTTAACTAGTTGGAAGTTAACTTAAGATCTTAAGCTTCTTTAGACTATAATATAATAAATTCAAGTACCGAATATCATGATAATTTTCAGATAATTTATACTATTTTCATACTCTTTTTGGTAGTAAAGAGAGTATATCTTGTGCTTTGTTAATCGGACTGAGACCACTTGAAATTTGGAATTAAAATTTAATATTGAGTGTCAAATTAGTAATTTCTTGATGGTGTTTCGCATGATTTAAGCTAGAGACTTGCAATTTGTTGTAACTATATTTACATAGATTATTCTCATATAATATCATACAAAGAATAATATGTCTGTATTTTCTATATTTTTATAGCTAGATAAATGGCCTCAATGTCATAGCAAATTTGTTCTCTCTTAAATAAATAAATAAATAAATAAATCGCAAAAACTAGGTCGAGTATTGTGCAGTCGGTTTATACGGTGTATACGCAACTATATACTAAATATACATACATATTCACTATAATATAAACATCTACTATGCACATATAAATACTATAATATAAGATTTCTAACAAGCTTTGAAACCCAATCTGACAAGCAATTTATGCTTAGTGAATATATAAAATATATTTATAATATTTATAATATATATATATTTATAATAATATAATTATATCTCAAAAATATATCTCATCTGATACATAATATATACAGCTACATATTAATTCAAATAAATAAATGTTTATATCAATATCTTTTTATTCTAAAATATTCTCTTATTTTATTTTCTTATTTTTCTCATGCAACTCTCGCAACATTTCAATTTTTCAAGGAGTTAACAGAACTGGAGCTACACTCCATGGAACTTACACCCCTTGAATCAACAGAAACTATATCAACTAAATAAAAACTTATTAGCTATGATGTACACATAGATTCCAATTGATTTCCAATAAAAGATTTTCCAGTCACAAGACTTTATAACACCTCGTTAAAGTTTCCTTATCGCCCCCTTAGCTTTAGCTAAATCAATATATGATATATATCAACATTTTACAGAATTTTTAAAATTTCATTTATTCAGACATATATTTTTATGTTAAATATATATATATATATATGCGTGTGTATGTATGTATATGTATATGGTATGTTAAGAGTTTGCGTTGCCTCTGATTGCAACTTGCCGCTCGCTCGAACTTACAGAACTAATAAAAAACGGAATGCATGCAGGCAGGGAGTGGCCAGCTGCGCGGACTGGGGCTAAATGGGGTACAAATGGTTAGTGGACTGATAAGGTATTTCTATATAAATATCTATAGAGCTCTAACTGTACAAGGCCCGGGGCAAAGCTGATAAACGTGTATTAAGCAAACGTAGGCAAAAGCATACAACACAGAACAGAAAAAAATACTTGTACGCTGCACTGGGCGAAAGATTTCGGATTGGGCCGCAGGAATGCATGAAGATTAAGTTGGGCGGGCTTTAACGCCCGTTCCAGTAGCCAACGCGTCCGTTCTCGAAAGCCAAATTGATGCGCGGATGGGGCAGAGCCCTGCCCGGCTGTAGAGGCTCGCGCAGCTGGGCGGGCGTCGACGGATCGTCCTCGAACAACAGGCACTGACGCACAAACTCCAGAAACAGTTTTTGAGCCTGCTCCACAGAGGCGGGCAGTGCCTGCAGATTGGCATCGCTGCTCAGCTGGCGGACGAGCTGTTCGCAGATGCGTGTATTCGTGTCCACATCGAAGAGCGGCACACCAAAGTTCACATCGAGCAGCGTCCACTCCTCGGTGTTTGGCTCCGGCTCCACAGTGGCATCGCCAATGGGCAGCTCGACCGAGCTCTGCGAGAGCAGATCGCCACGGCTGCTGCTGCTATTGTCGTTGCATTTGGCCAGCTCGCTGGCCAGCAGCTGGTTGCAGTCCGCCGAGGTGTATTCGTTTGCTGGCCCGTGCTCGGGCGTGGTGGCAAAGTGATTCTCGTCGGGACTCTTCAGCTGAAAGCTTGTCAGCTGATCATTTGGCACATTGTTGGACTTGCTGGCGACGGCAGCCTGCGTTTGGCGCTTGCGCTGCGGCAACTTTAGCTTCACCTGCAGTTCGTACTCCTCGCAGCCCAGATCGGGCACGCCCGTATTTAGAAACGTTATATAGCCGCATTGCTGGCGCAAATCCAAATGGCTAGCCAGCTTCTGCACGGCTCGATGTGTGGCCCACTTGGCCTGGCCCGCGTCGGTGGCCTGGAATGGAAACGATTCGTAATGGAGCTCCCCACTTGCACGTATGCCATAGCCCTGTAGCAGCACACAGCCGTTCTTCAGCTGGTCATTCAGATTGCGAAAGTTCTCCGAGTTGAGCACATAGGCATCTGAATGGAGTATGTTCACCAACAGCTTGCCATAGCCCAGAAAGAGGCGTGGCAATGATTTGAGCACCGTGCCGCGACAGAGCAGCAAGCTGGGCGGTCCGTAGCCTGTGAAAAATGAGCGAATCAGATTCGACTGCAACTGCAGCTAGCTGCCCGTGACTCACCCGTGATATGGTTGTAGAACAGCTTGCTCCACATGGGCATTGCATCGGAGCTACGCAAAAACTGTCCAAAAAACGGAATGCTAAACATGTGACTCAGCGTCGCCGTCAGCGGCGTTGCTGATATAATAAACTTGTATTTCTTTTCAAGCACACGATCGCGCGTCTGCCAGTCGAGTCCCTCCAAGCACTCCAGTCGCAGCAGATCGAGTCCACCTGGCAGCAGCGGGCGCAGCGAGCAAATGGTGGAGCGTAATATGACTGCATGTGCGAAGTAGCGAGAGACATCGCCTTCGCCCTCGGCATCCAGTAGAGATACCTGCTCCAGCTCGGCGAGAAAGCTGTCCAAGCTCTCCTCGCACAGTTTGCCCACCTCGAACATGGTTACCGCATGGTTCTTCAGTCCAGGCGAAAGATTGCCCATCATCAAAAATGCAGTCAATGTTGAGTCAAACAAGAAGCCCACGCGCTTGCCGCTCTTCGGCGAGGCGCCAACCACTGCTGCAGCGGTTCCAGCTGCGGTGCCTGCCTTTGTTGTAGTCGTGCGCTCGCTGACATCTTCCAGCTCGGAGCTAAGCTCATGTTCGTCGCTGTTGTTGCCATTGTTGTGTGTGGGCGCTGTGGGAGTGGTCAGATTAGCAAAGCTAAAGTCACTAGTGTTGCCATCGGAGGAGAGATAGCCAATTGAGCTGCTGTCCTTATCCTTATCCTTCTCTTTATCCTTGTCCTTCTCCTGCTTGGGGGTTTTGGGGCTCGGCTGCTGCTGCTGCTGCTCGAATTCGAAGCTGTTAGCGTACATATTATAGTTGAGCGGTGTTATTTGAGGCGTCTGCGGCGTCTGCTGTTCGCTGTAGGTAGCCCAGCTGGCATGATGCTGTCCCTCGTCGTGATCCGTTTGCTTGCGCTGAGCAAAGCCAAGCCGACATATAAAGCTAATCGCCTGCTTCACGCTGTCCAGCTCCAGTTGCAACATCTGCGCCAGCTCTGCGATGCTCATGTGCTCATCGGCGCTTACGAAGATCTTATAGAGCAGATTCTCGAAGTAATCGCCGCTGACGCGATTCATGACAAAGTTGCGCAGCGGAGGTATGCAAATGCGATCCTCGCCACTAATGGGCACATCCAAATAGATAAGTCCCTTGCGATAGAGGCTCTGAACTACTTGGTAGTCGCATTTGCCCGCAGGCTGGGCGCCAAAATCGATGAGATCGTCCAACAGGCTGCGCTCTGCAGACGTCACAAGGCGTATATCCGCTTCGAGGACATAGCCAATGTCCAGGCGCCACCAGGGCTCTATGTGAACGTGCACGGGTAGGCGTGGCAGAAAGTCCAACGGATTTGGTTTGGCACTAAAGAGCAGCGTGCGCGGCGTATGTGTTTTCAGTTCGCTAATAAGCGCCAAATACTCATTACGTCCAATGCCCAGGACACGCAGACAATCCGCAGCTGTAAAATTTGGCAGCGTGTCGTAGCTCTTGTCGCTGCGCAGCAGCTGGCTGAGCACATCCAGGTAATAATTGAAAGGGGTCACACGCAGGCCCTTGGTGACAATGTCGGCGAGATGGTAGGGAAAGACGCCCAAACTATTAATATTCTTCTGGATGAGCAGCTCGTAGTAGCGCTGCTCCTGGCGAAACACCTTCGAGGCGAGATTGCCACGGAAGCGCAGCTGATTCTTCAAACTGTAATTGAATACGTATTTCTCGTAGTCGCGCTGATTGTTGTGCAACACAGAGCGCAAATGCACTGGCAGCTCCTGCCATGGCACATTTCCACGCACGCACAACTGCAGCTGCAACTGGCAGTTGCCACTCTCTGTCGTCGTCGACATCATCGACGTCATCGTCCACCTGCAAACGCAGTTTTAGGTTTGTTTACCTGTCGCAGTGTTCAGTTTAGTTGTTGTTGCTGTCCCTTGTTAGTTTTGGCCATTGCGTTTAGTGTTTTATCTAGTATGGAATGACTTGCTGATGTGTTTACTTTATTTTTGCGTTTGCTCCAAGCTCGTTACGATTGGACGTTCTTATTCTATTTTGGCAGGCAGGCAAATGAGACACAGCTGATAAAAACAATCGTCTGACTGGCAGCTCACACACACACGAGCGCGTTAGCCAGCACTGGCTAAAAAAAATACTGCACTGTGATGGGAAAAACTAATGAACATCAGATTTACCCTTTCTTGAATATGCCATACACACATATGAGCTACTTTGGCAACGTGCAAATAAACTAGGCAGTTTTGTAAATTGTGCTGAGTTGAAAAAAAACTAAAAAAAAAATTGAAAATAAATACAAATTGTTGCGAATTTTTTTTTTAAATTTTTATTTGAATACTTATCAAAACAACAGTTTAGCTATGCAAAACAATAATTCATTCAATAATATATTAAACTATATTAATAAATAAGATAAGATAAATAATATAATATACCAACCATTCAATGCGGACATGTGCAAGCAAAATAAGTAATTTGAAAATGGAAGGCATTTAGAATAAATCGCGCCTAAGCGATAGCTTAAATAACATCGCTAGCCAACACTTAAGACGAGTCTTTGCGAGCGTTAGCAACACTGACTGTTGATGATTTTCAATATTAAAGGCACTCTGCTTTGCCTTGGCTGCGTTTTTCTAAACAAAAAACTGTTCCAAATATCAAAACGTATAAATTTTTGTTAGGCGTAGTTGTAAAATTGTGCAAAACGTTGTGTGAATTACAAGTGCCATGCTGGTAGATGTTGACATGCAAATGCAGCGGCATTAACGACTAGAAACAACAACAACAATAAAGAGCACACTCGGAAAAGCAAAAAAGGGACATCGACATCGATTTTTTGCACCCTTTTTGTTGCGCACATATATATATATATTTTGCGTAGGCAAATTAGCACACAAAGAAACAAGCGACAAGTGTCGCCCTGGACTGGCAAGGAAGCACGCAACGATCAAAACAGTAAACAGCTATTAGTTTATTGAATCTCAGTGCCTCAGGGAAAGGGACGCTCAATGAGCGGCGGCGGCGAGGAACACGAGCAGCTGAAACAGAAGGCGCGGCCAACGTCAACGTCGCCGTTGCCAGGCGTCTCAAGGTGAGCAAATTATATATATATATATAAATACATATATATATATTTAAATATATACATATACATACACATACATATAAATATATATTTAATGCTAAACGCATTTACATACTTTTTGTCTGTTGCAGCGCATCGACTTCATCAGCAGCGGCTGCGGCGGCCGCATCGGTGGCCAGTAGCGGCGGCAATGGTCGGGCCACACCTGAGATGAAGCGCTCGGCTGTGCGCAGCCTTATACAGCGCTACTTTCATCAGCTGCAGTCAGGTTGTGGCAATGTCCATTGCAAGAATACCAACTGCGCTTCCAGCGGCAAAGTTCCGCCCATGACGCCCAACGAGGTGGCCGCACGAGCCCTACATCTCTTCTCACAGGACGCCCAATTGTGCGATGGTGCGCCCATAGCAAACAGGTGAGTGAATAAATTAAGAGATAGCAACTGACTAACGTCTCTTGCCTCCTGACAGTCCGCAGCAGGATGTGGACATGCTTTCGCCAAATGACAGCAGTAGCAGTAGCAGCAACAGCTCCACTAGCACTATTACATCCGCCAGCACTACAACTACCACCAGCACCCAATCGCAATCCCAATCGCAGTCCCAGTCGAACGCGCAGCCACAAAGCTCCATGGAGCAGTCCGAACGGCCGCTAATGATAATTGATTTGGTTAAGATGCCCACAATGGGATCGCAGGCGACAATAACCACAACGACGACAACAGCTGACGACTCGGACCCCTGCACACCAACGCTGCCATCTGTGGACTTTGTTGACGCTGAGTTGCTGGAGGGACTCTACACGCAATGCCATGCAGCGGACAGCTACGAAAGGCTGTGCCAAATTATTGACCATGTTTTCTCCAGTGTCGATCGACTGAGCAAAAGTTTTGTCTGCCGACCGGGCCAAGAGCGACAGCATTTGGAAAGTAAATCGAACAATGCGCTGAATAAGGAGCAACTGCGTCAACTGGAAGGTGAGCACGATAAAGATGAGGATAGCACACAGCGAACGGCAACTCCAACCGAACTATGCCCAGCCTCTACTGCAGCAGATGACAGTCATGTGGCTGAAAATGCTGATGAAGCCGATGTGGATGATGATGACAACGACGAGGACGAACCAATGACTCAACAGGAGCAAAACGAAGAGTTTCTACATAGGGGCACCAAGGTGGATTTCCGTGGATTACGCCACATAAAGCGTCTGCTCTTCGGTGCGCCCTGCCAAACAATTGCTGAGCAAATCACCAGCAGCGTCATTCAACTGGCAGACTATATACGGTATATGCGGTTGTACAGGCAGGATTCGTGGGAGCAGGTGCTGCATTGCTTGGTTATATGCTTTGACATGGCCACCAACAGTTAGTATTGCATTGCTCTATAAAGGCATAGCTGTACAGGAGCTAATCTCTGATTCTTAACTCTATTCATTCATAGCTACGGCCAACAACAGCGTCACGGACATGGAGTATCTCGATCGCGTGCTGCCCAAGCTTTGTCATGCAGCTGCTGCAATGCCTGTGCAAGCGCAGGCTCGACTCGCTGTCATATGGAGTGAGTATTGTGCGGATCAGCTGCATACGCTGTTATCCTCGTGCCAGCAGCAAATAACACTACAGGTGCTGCTCGACGAGGAGTCGGTGCGGGAGAACGAGCATATCATAAGCGTGACCAAAGTGCTAAAGGTGAGTCAACAAAATTTCTTTATGCCTCTATCTAAAATGTTTTTCTTTCGTAAAGATCGTGTTTTATGCCAACATATTGGCCAGCGTGTTGGAGCGCCCTTCTTGCCGTCTGCCTTTACAGGAGGTGGGCGAAAGTGAGGCCGATTCTTCTGCTTCTGCCGTAGAAGATGGCGAGGATCTATTTGTTTACAACTCGCTGCAGCAGCCGCATATGCCAAAATTTGCTGAGGATCCGCTAGAGAAGTGCTTGCAGGTCTCGTACATTGACTGTCGAAGTCCTTTGGTCCCGCTTGAAGAGTTCTACAATGAGGCACTTAGCGAGCATATACAAATGCATCAGGATTATTTATCCTACAAGACACTGGCCATGGAGAGCGACCTGGGGTCCAGCCACACCAACTATTTTTGCTTTATGCTCTATGCATTCATCCTAACGCCGGCTACTAAAGTCGATGCCCTCTACTACGACTGCCGCATGCGTATGTACAGCGAACGTTACTCTTCGTTGTATTCTATACTTCAAAACTTTGGCCAGGATGGCCAAGAGGGTGCGCGACCCGATCTCAAGCTGACGGTGCGACGCGATCAACTAATCAACGATGCCCTCATTGGAGTAAGATTGAATAGCAACGTGAATTTATATGAAGAATTTTGTGATTAATGATTGAATCGGCTTACAGCTGGAACTTGTTGCAATGAGCAATCCAAAGGATCTAAAAAAGCAGCTTGTGGTGGAGTTTGTGGGGGAACAGGGAATTGATGAGGGAGGCGTATCCAAAGAGTTCTTTCAACTTATCGTTGAGGAAATATTCAATCCAGCCTTTGGCATGTTTGTGCAGCAGGAGGAGACCAATAATATGTGGTGAGTGTTAGGCTTAAATAACATATTTCACCCTTTTAACCATTCGCTTCAATAGGTTTAATGCCACGCCATTTGAGAATGGTGCACAATTTACGCTGATTGGCATAATAATTGGCTTGGCCATTTACAACAATGTCATCTTGGCTGTGAACTTTCCAATGGTTGTCTACCGGAAGCTAATGGGCTATCGAGGCACCTTCTATGATCTGTGCGACTGGAGTCCAACGCTGTACAAGAGCTTGAAAGCCATGCTCGACTATCAAGGCCATGACATGGAGGAGGTATTCGAGCAGACGTTCAAGATTAGCTACAGTAATGTGTTTGGCGAGCTGGTGGAGCACGAACTGGTCCCACATGGCAGCGAAGTGCTAGTCGGTCAGCACAACAAGCGTTTGTTTGTTAATTTGTATAGCGATTTCCTGCTGAACGTTAACATACAACAGCAGTTCAAAGCCTTTCGCAAAGGCTTTGAAATGGTTACCGATGAGTCGCCACTGAAGCTACTCTTCAGACCAGAGGAAATCGAAAAGCTAGTCTGCGGAAGTCGCGTATGTTTACAAAAGAGATTCTTAATTTTCATTTAAGATATACTTTAAATAATTTTTTCTATTTTGCAGGAGTTTGATTTTGTAGAGTTGGAGCATTCAACGGAATACGAGGGTGGGTATACGGAGGAAACGCAAATCGTGCAAGATTTCTGGAGTATTGTGCATGCCATGCCACACGAGTCCAAGCGGAAGCTGCTCGAGTTTACAACAGGGTCGGCACGCGTTCCCGTTGGAGGCTTGAAATGCTTACGATTGTTAATCACACGTCATGGACCGGACAGCGATCGATTGCCCACGTCGCACACGTGCTTCAATGTGCTGCTGTTGCCAGAATACAGTAGCAAGGAGAAGCTAGAGGAGCGTTTGCTCAAGGCAATAAATTACTCCAAGGGCTTCGGAATGCTGTAGTCGCCGCAAAGGAATATGCCAAAGTAGTTGGTACACATACCTCCAGGAACGCAACAGATACCACCTTCGATATAACATGATGATGATGAGATGATGAAGATATCGACGAAGTTTAATTAGTTGATGAGCTTTAGTTTGTTTTTGAATTTGTCATTTATTTTTGATACAACTTGTTCAAATGAGACAATATATGTGTGTGTGTAAATGCTCAATGTGGCGCGATGGCAAGAACGCAAACTTAGCAAAACTTGATTTAAATAACTATATATATAATTTACTATGTCGCTCAGTTAATTGTATATAACATAAATTACATTTATTCGCATACTCATACACTCATGTATTTACGTTTGTAATGCAGCACGCATAAAAATTTACTGAATAAATTTTAAGTTATGCGCCAATTGTTTGCTTTTATTATCGCTCGATAAGTTTTTATTTATTTAGCTATCGATAAATAGTTCAGCGTAGTCGCGTTTTACAGCACTGCTTCTGCATTCATATTGTCTTCGTTTACGAGTGTCGTATTTTGCATTTTCATTCATGTTATCATCGTTGTTGTGTCCGGTTGTGCAGCGGAGTAAAGCTGTGAATTGTCTCATTTCAAAACAAATTTTCCTCGCGGACTATGCAACAATTATCATAACATAAAACTGTGCGTTAGAATTGTGAAAGTCAGTGTGTGTGTGTGTGCGAGTGTGTGTTTCTTAGCTTTTTAGGGAATAACAAAGCCAATGCCATGCAAAACCAGATGAATTGCGCATTGTTGTTTTTGGCGTCGGTCTTGTTGTTTTTGCAAGGAGCTAGTACCAGTGCAGCAGATGCCGATGTTGCTGCACCCGCCGAAGTTGTTGCAGCTGCACCAGCGCAGCCCAACTTAAATGGTATGTGTGTCTAGAATCTGGAGCATATGAGTTCATCACTGGAATTAGCAAGGCATAAGCACTAAAAATTATTAAATTGCATTCAGCTGTAGAACGATGCGCCTACACACACGCACACAGATGCAGGCATTGCCTATGCAACTGTGTATGTACGGGTGTGTGAGCGAGTGTAATTCTTTCTCTTTCCAACTGACTGCGTTTTTTGTTTACGTTCCTTTGCTCTTTCCTCTTATTGCTTTCAACTCACGCGGTCGTTAACATTCAAAGTGCTTAATGATGTGTACAGGATGCTCAGCTCTTGTTTTAATTATTTTAGTTCATAAGCAGAATTCTTTTATTAACTTTTTGCATGCACTATTTGGTGTAAAGTGCTTTTCCTTGTTCCAACTACGTCATTTCATAGATCCTGCGTCCCTGACACAGGAAAATTGGGTCATCAATATGTATCGAAATATGTATAATAATGTCATTGACATAAACTTTTACTATTTTTCTTTTATTTAATATATAATATTGATTTGACAAATTACTATATATTCTATGATTTGTATTTAGATTTAAAAAACAAATTTTTCTTTTTAAATATATATAAAAATTATATGCAAAATTACGATTTAAGACAAAATATTTGCATCTTAATTTTATTTTTTATTTTTTATTTCATTTTCCAACTTTTAAGTTTTTTTCTGCTCCAATTAACATTTTGTTTTCGCCCGATTCAGATAAAATCAAAGTCTTCACCGTGGCCACAGAGCCAACTGATGGATATCGCCGTTTTATACGATCTGCTCATGTTTACGACATTGAGGTAAGTTCTTAAAAGTTAGCTAAAATTGAATTATAATAAACTTTCGAAATGGCACAGTTAACGTTAAATTCTAACTGGTTAGCATCGGGTCTTGTCATATTTTAATATCTATTGTTGAGGTTTGATATGCAAATTTTTGAATTTAACGTTTATTGTTTTTTTTACGATCAATAAGTTAACTGAAAAGAATTGCTAATATTTTTAATGTATTTCTTTTTATATAAAATTGAGCTTCGATGGTTGCTTACAAATTAACTTATATAACTGAATAATAGGTTAATACTATTTTTGACCACATCAAAACTTATTCTTTTCGCTAACTATTAGATATTTTAATTATATATATTTTTCAATAGTATTATTTTCTTCGTGTTGTTATTCTGATTTATGTTCTACTGATAGCACCTGCTTCAAAATTTGAGCTGATGTTTCCAAAAATGAATTTGATAAGCATTGGCATGGAAGTCGTTAGGCTCAGGACCTAAACCCTATTTAGTGACCTCATAAAAATTCCATTCAGAAATAGATTTCCAACAAAATGTTGATATAATATATATAAAATTTACCTACTTACCTAATTGATTTATTTCAAATAAGGAATAAATCACCTAAGAATAGCAGATGCCTGAATTCTCTTAGTGAGAACCTGACTTTTTATTTGAGGTTGATGTGAGGGAAGTATATACATATATGAGCAAGTATAGCAGTATTTAAGATATATATTACATTTGTAGCTCATCCAGGCAAGTATGGTCAAGTAATGGAACTTTGATATCCATAATTATCTATAAATATTTTATAGCTCTAGCTCTTAGGGTTTGATGCTTCTGTTAATTTTAGTTTTCAATGAATAAAGAGAAATTTTGAGTATATAACTTTCGATCCTAATAAACGAATTGCCGATTGTTTTGAAGACTTGTAAAAGTTATTTCAAAGTTGATTTATTGCCTGTTAGCAACTGCAGAGCTGAAAGCAATTCTTATTGTTTTCTATAAATGAATTTCGAAACTTAATTAAATGTCGCTGTATTTCGTATACACATGAAGTGTGCTCATATATGTGTACAAATTTATATATACTAAGTATTCATAAACAAATGATTGGCCCGAAGACGAACTCTTGCCTACATATCTCGGTTTTGCGGCACACTTTTATGACTTTGTGTTGATTGTAGTTGTCGTATATATACAGTATATATAGTGTATAAATATATATAGTATGTTGTCCAAGCATCCGGCACTAGCGTCCAGATGACTCTGCATCACTGATGTGTTACACAGAGATTGGCTGTGGCATTATATGTCTGTGTGTGTGATGGGGCACCATACAGCGAACACATGTGGCTGATCGCATTTCGATGTTTACTTTGTTGTGTTTAATCACGTAGTCCATGCAGCCAGTTAGAAGCCCGGGTGTAATTAGCACAATTCAGTTCCCGATTGTTCCATTGATACTGCCTCAGTGCTTTCCTCATATGTACATATGTGTATTGTATTCGATGATTTGCTTATCAGCTCCAAGCTGAAGCCGGTTTCCCTATACGAATGTGTCGCATAGTGTCTTACGAATGCTTCTCATGTTCATCTTGTGAAAGAAATATTCACAAAAGAAAAAAAATGCTGATTAGCCGGTTTGCCGGCTTTCGTTCTCGAATCAGTTCTAAGATTTCAAATTTGAACTTTATTTTCGACTTTTTGTTTTATATGATTATACTTTATATATCAAGAATTGTGTCAACTTAGCCATTTAAGATCGTTTCTTCTACAGGCTGTTCCAGCAGTTTCATCAGGCTTCAGCACACAGAATCTTCTAATTTAACAGACTTTTAAGTTCTATTCTGTTAACAGAATCTGCTTAAATACTGTTACTTAACATTTACTTGTATATTACGGCAATATGTTAGTAACATACATACATACTGAAAGTTAACAGTTGCTATAACATTTTTATTACATAGGGTCAGCTTTAACAGTATAATAACATAGCTAAAACATTGAAAAGTTTACATAAGTCAGCATGCATAGCAGCTGAATATATATTTAGAGAGTATACCTAATAACATAGTAATAACATTTTATAGATTACATATGCAAAAATGTTATGCTTTAACTTTTGAGAACAAATCAATTAAAGTTTCTTAAGGAAATTAAATATATTTTTAGGTATTATTAATAAATTCAGACAGATAAATATAAAACGATTTATTTTTTATTTATTTATTTATTATTTATTATTATTATATAGATATTATTTATTATTTTTATTTCTAATGTTTTATTCATTTTAAATATTAGATTTTAATATACTCTATAAGAGAATTCAGATCTGATATAAAAGATGAGAAAAGCACACTCTTGGAATGGGTGGCAGACCCAAGCTGTACACTGCTTATAGGTGTCTCAAGACTCTAAATAATAACTATCTCTTCTTCATCTCTTGACAGGTGACCACTCTTGGCATGGGCGAAGAATGGCAAGGTGGCGACATGAAAGGCGTGGGCGGCGGTTACAAAATCAATTTGCTGCGTAAGGCTGTCGAGGAACTCAAGGATGCTCAGGACACCCTAATACTATTTACGGACAGGTAAAGAACACTATTCTTACTTAGTTACTTACTTTTAACACTTGTACCCCTACAGCTACGATGTCATCTTTACAGCTCCACTTGAGGAGATCCTCGAAAAGTTCAATGAATCTGGTGCTAAGTTGCTGTTCTCGGCAGAGAAATACTGCTGGCCCGACAAGAGCCTTGCAGACCGTTATCCCGAGGTGGAGGGCAAGGCGTCGCGTTACTTGAACTCGGGCGCCTTCATTGGCTATGCGCCACAGGTGATTGAGCTGCTGAAAGAGGACATCGAGGATACAGGCGATGATCAGTTGTACTACACGAAAGTCTTTCTGGATGAGGCAAAGCGGACCAAGCTGAACATCAAGCTGGATACGCAGTCGCGTCTGTTCCAAAATCTGAATGGTGCCAACAACGATGTAAAGCTCGAGGTGGATCTGGACTCGAACCGGGGCACCTTGCAGAATATTGATTTCCTGACCACACCCGCCATTATCCATGGCAATGGACCGAGCAAAGTCAATTTGAATGCCTATGGCAACTATCTGGCCAAGACCTTCAGTGGCGTCTGCACCTTCTGCCAGGAGTATCCGCTAGAGTTGAATGTGAGTAAAATCTTGCCAATTTATGATTTACATGCTTTTCTAATGAGCTTGCTTCTCTGCAGGAACAAGAACTGCCTGTCATTACGCTAGCTGTTGTGGTGAATCAAGCTGTGCCTTTCCTTGATATGTTCCTTGCTGGCATTGAGAAGCTGAACTATCCTAAGAAATCGTTGCATCTCTTCATGTTCAGCAACGTTGAGCTGCACGATGAACTTGTGAAGTCCTATGTGGAGAACCAGGGCAAGAGCTATGCCAGCGTTAAGCATATCCTATCTACAGATGGATTGAGCGAGAGTCTAGGCAGGCAGTTGGCACTGTGAGTTTGAATATATAATATTGTTGATATTCCTTGGAAATTCTTCATATATAGGTAGATTCAAACCACTAACTAGCATAACTAATTGACGCTTCATTCTTCTCTTACAGCGACAAGGCAAGGCAAAAGCACAGCGACTACATATTCTATGTGGACGGCGATGCCCACATCGAAGACAGCGAAGTGCTGCGTGAGCTGCTTAGAATGAACAAGTAGGTTTAACAACCATATATATATGTATATAATGATAGGCATATATATATCAGAGTAAACATTTAACTCTTAACCATTGCAGACAATTTGTGGCGCCGGTGTTCTCCAAGTATCACGAGTTGTGGAGCAACTTTTGGGGCGCGCTCTCCGAGACGGGCTACTATGCACGCTCCCATGACTACGTGGACATTGTCAAGCGGAATCTAATGTAAGCTAAAATCTGGGGAGGCATTCAAATGGGTTCAACTTTATTGCTTAAACATATAATGGAAGAAGGAAACGGATTAATCGAAGGCAATGGAGAAATCGGTCTTAAAGCTGCGTCTGTCTATCGAATACATATTGTCTGCTGTGCACTCGTAAAGGCCGGCATCCATCTGAGTAGCCGGATCAATTTCGATCTTCGACTTGACGCGATCATCGCCAATGGTCCATTCGTGCACGTGCATATACAGATGCTGATAGATTTCGGCGCCGTCCTTGTACCAGGTTATGTGCGGGCGCGGATTGCCCTTGGCCACGCACAGAAAGGCGATCTTATGGCCCAGCACGTACTCGAGATCAAAGTGCGAGGCCTGCAAGATTTTGGCGCCCTGTTGCCACAGAGAGATTAGCTAATAATCTTTGAACTACTTCTCTAACTTACGTTATTGTTGTTGTAGTACTGGTCGGATTCGGGATCGCGATACTTGCCCGTTATCGGCAGGCCGATCTGCACTCGCGACTTGGTGCGTCCACGACCGCGTCCACGTCGCGCCTCAATGACCGGTGCGGTTAGCATTAGTAGGACCATGGCCAGGCTTAAGCTGATCAGCAGGCACTTTGCTTGCATCCTATGCTGTCTCTCACTCAAACGTTGCTGTGCGAATCTCGTCTGCTCGGCGACTGAGCAGCAGCTGTTGGGGACAGTAGTTCGCCTGCCACTGAGCTCGGCCAATTTGCCACAATTGGCGTCGCTTGGGTCTCGCATTTAAATCGCCAGCATGCCAGCAGCACCAGCAGGCAGCAGGCAGCAGTTCGGCATTTGGCATTTTGTTCTCAGATCGCTTTGCACACCATTTGATCGCATCTGATATGCGCAGCTCCACAGGTTGCCTTATTTCACTCAATTTCATTTGATTTGATTTGCGCACTCGCTGAATCTGCATGCCTCTGCAATAGTCTGTCCAAAGGCCAATCTCTTGGCGCACAGTGAGGCAAAAGGTGGGAAAATTAGAAAACTGTTTATATAAATATATATATATATATAACTTTACATATATACATATATATATGTAAAGTTATATATAACTTATAAATAATTTACCTGTTCGTAAACTATAGATTCTCTTCACATGCTTGACATGATTTTGTTTAACAGGTGATGAGCGATTAGTTCCATTGAATTGTTATTTATATATACGTTTTTTTTAGCTATCGTGAATCACTAGTTATTAATGTTCGACAGAATGGTATTTTGTCTATCTAATTACTAACTACTAACTGATCTAGTCTGATAACGTTTTGACATGACTCAAAAGCAAACCTCACTGAAAAATTGTATCTATAAATATCTTAGCAGTGCTCTCTTAACAGCAAACTGTTATTAACAGCGCTGTTAACCTAGTGTGTGGCGCTAACAGCAAGGAAACTGTTGTGGAAGGCCTACACCATAAATCTTAACAAATTTATTCATATCTAACAATTTATTCATATTAAACATTTTCTTATATATAAATATATATTTCGCCAATCTTAGCCCACTGTGCAATGGCAATATAGATCCCCAACATAACCAAGCTCATTTGCATAGTCAAGTGCCGCAGTTTGTTTTGGTTTCGCTTGCACTCATTTTAATATACATTTTAATAAAATAAATGCAAAAAAATTGTTTCAATCAGGTAATTGAAGACAATTTGTCGGTTACGCACACAGCATAACAGAGAGAGAGAGAGAGGGAGAGTGAGCGTGCGAAAGAGAGAGAGAAAAGTAAACGAATATGTGACGAAAGGTCGAGAACAATTGATACAAACAAAAACGAACTTGAAGTTACAAATTATATTTTGTTTTTTATTAAAATATTACAACAAGAATGTGGTACAATATGTCAGTGAGAAATGAAGAACTTTATAGAGAACGTTAAAAATTAACCATGGCATAGTCCGTGCGAAAGCCTCGACGATCAATTGCATAGATATTGTCCGCCTGACATTCGTAATAGCCTGGAAAGATGTTGGAAATCAAGATTTAATAGATATATAATACTAAATGTAAAATGTATAACAACTGCGAATATAATTTTAAAAGTTTTTATTAATTTCGCTAGATCTTGATCTCAGCTAATAACTGTATCTTAAAAGTCAGCCTACCTGCATCCATTTGCGTAGTTGGATCTATTTCCATTTTAGATTTTATAATCTCTGGCTCTGGATGGGATTCGTGTACCTAAAAATATGTCAAGGAAATAGAAGAAAATATATGTTTGTATAAATTTGATGAGTTTCTTATTTGCTGTGAATTTACCTGAAAGAATCGATGTTGATATAGCTCTGCGCCATCCTTGAACCAGGTGATGGTTGGACGTGGATTGCCTGAGATATAGGAAGATGTAGAAGATATAGAGAATAAGAAATTGTATGAATGAATGAGAGAGAACTAGAAAGAGAGAGGGAGAGACTTAGAGAGATTTTTTTAAAGAGTTTGTAATAGAGTTTTAAGAGAGATAAAATGTTCATATTCTGTGATATGGAAAGAGATAGTAAATGGTTTAGCCTACTATAGAGAGAGCGAGGCTTGTGGAATTTGAACTGTCAATCATATAGAGATGGAGGCAGAGATAAAGAGATAGCGTGTATTTAAGTAGCTAAAGTTATGAACACATAGGAAATATAAACTTCCTACTTACCCTGTGCCATGCAGAAGAAAGTTATTTTGCGACCCAGTGTATAATCCAGTTCAAAGTGCGAGGATTTTATAATCTTGGCACCCTGTTAGAGAGAAAGGCAAGGCTTTGTTTAACTAAACATTCTATAGCAACTATCAAAGCAAGTCTTCATAGAGGAGTTCTTTGCAAATAGATTCTCCAGCAAATTATAACTCACGTTCTCATGATCGTAATAGTTGACGGCATCCTGTGATCTGTGTTGAATGACGACGGGCTTTTTGCCTGTATAATTGCGACGTAGAACATTTCGACCGCCAGTGCTTCCTGTGTTGGATAGGTAGATATATGATAAATCTCTAGTTGTTTATATAATTTTGGAACATGCTTTGATCGTGCTCACTTTGTGCGTGCACCTGGCAAAGATCACTCGACAGCAGCAGCAGCAGCCAGAGCAGGGCAAATGCTTTGATCTTGCACTGGTTCAACCAGGGACTGGGCATAGTTGCGATCGGTGATTGCGCTGACTGCGGCTTTGCACCCGTCTGTCAGCGTGCAATGTTTGGTTCAAACTGCGACCAGATTTTAGGGGTTAGCCCCCGTTTGTTTATCTCACTGATTGAATTTAATCTGTGCCTCGCTCAGCCTCGCGAGAGTTTGCTACTTTCCATTTCCACAACATTGTTGCGAAATCCATATATATTTAAATAAGTGTGTGTGTGTGTGTGAATCTGTATATATCTAATTGTTCTTCTCTCTTTTTAGCGGCATGTTCAATGTGCCACATGTGACGACAATTTATCTGATCAAGCACAGCGCCTTCGATGCCATCAAATTTGAGCACAAGGAATTCGACCCTGACATGGCCATGTCCGCATCTTTAAGAGAAGCGGTAAGTAAAGCTATATAATACTGCATTTAACTATCTTAATGAAATTGTTTGCTACTTTAGTTGATTAAAATAAGCATTCATTCAGCTGCATTGATAGCAAAGTATTGAAAAGATCTTTTGAGCACGGGTTTTTATTTTAAGAAGTCTTCTTTTCACATTTACCTAAATCGAAATTGTATTTTGAATAATTTTGATTCATAATTTAATAATTCTGAAAATAAGAATTAAATAATTTATTTCATTAAATCAATTTAATATTCACAACTTGCTTTTATTTGGATTAGAATAAAAAGATTCTTCTATCAGTTCGAGAATTTTCTAAAAGCGACTTTCGGTTCCCTAAAAAATGAATCAATTATTGTCTGACTTAGGCGCATCAATAACATTATAATTGAAATATATATTACGCCTTAAACAAGAAATCTATTTAATTTTTTCAAGCAGGTTTTAATGTTTTATCTTATCATATTGTATTTGGGGTTCGTTAAACCCATTTCAAATTAAAAATGGGTAGATCTAAGATCTAGACAGAGAGAGTGAGAGCTATTTCTTTTGTTAAATTCTGTCTCTACTATACTGAACAATTTCTAATTTGTGCTCTTCCCATTGTCTCTTTAGGGCGTCTTCATGTACGTCAGCAATCAGCGTTATCACGGACATCTGATCAATGCGGACAACTTTAATACGACCGTAGCACGTCCCGATTTCTATACACTGTTTAGCAATCGCTATGACTGGGCCTTGAAGTACATACATCCCAATTATTCGGCGCAGCTGAACGAGAGCATGGTCATTCCACAGCCCTGCCCGGATGTCTATTGGTTCCAGATTGTGAGCGATGCCTTCTGCGACGATTTGGTGGCCATTTTGGAAGCGTATGGCAAATGGTCCGATGGCAGCAATAACGACAATCGATTGGAGGGTGGCTACGAAGCGGTGCCCACACGTGATATTCACATGCGACAAGTGGGACTCGACTCGCTCTACCTGAAGTTCTTGCAAATGTTTGTGCGCCCGTTGCAGGAGCGCGTCTTCATGGGGTATTTCCATGATGTAAGTCGGAGTTCGAGGCATTTTCGTTTTTCATGTTTGCTAATGAATATTTCCTTTGCTCTGCAGCCTCCACGATCACTGATGAACTTCATGGTGCGCTATAAGCCCGATGAGCAGCCTTCCCTGCGCCCACATCATGACTCCTCGACCTACACAATCAACATCGCCATGAATCGGGCGGGCATTGACTACGAAGGCGGTGGCTGTCGCTTTTTGAGATACAATTGCTCTGTTACGGAGACGAAGAAGGGCTGGATGTTAATGCATCCGGGTCGCTTGACTCACTTCCATGAGGGCCTGCTGGTAACCAAAGGCACACGCTATATTATGATTTCGTTCATCGATCCGTAGGCGTTGCCCAGTCAAACTACTTTATGAACTGCCATGAAAAGGCCACTCCAAAGAATTTATAGTTAGTTTAAAGTAAGCAACTCGAATCAAATCTAGTTTAGTCTTGGAATGTGGTCCATTATATTGCCTTAGTTTGTCATTCGTTTGCCAAACATCCTGACTAAACACAAAGTTTGTCTTCGTAATTCCAGGGTCTGACACAAAACTTTATTAAGCCTTAAGTTTAATCTAATTTTTTCGAATCGTGTTCAATTATCTAAGCAAATACAACAAAAAGATGTACGCAAACTAAAGAAATTTTTTAATAAATGATGTTTAAGATATCGTAAATATATCAAAATTGGTGCGTTATTTATTTGTAGAGCATTTGAATTTCGCGCCCAATACAGGTCTGTTAATTTGCACTGCTTTTGCAGAAAGCAGCGCACTGCTTGATAGAGCTGTCTGTTATCGTAAGCACAGCTGGGTGCAATGCAAACCTTTAACAGCATATGCCCCCATATAGAAAACGGATTTCAATATAATCTATGCTATCATACTAATATCTATATCTATATATATAGATATATATATATAACTGTTACTTCAGGAATATATTACATATTGCAGTTCTTTCTGCATTTCTTTATTTTAAAAGTCCAATTGGAATTCTTATCATAAATTATATGCATAAATTTTTGCTGCGCAGTGTAAATGGGTAAATGCTCCGTCGTGCAGCGGTTTCTTGTTTCCGTTTCGTTTTGCTTGCTTTCAGTCGCATTTGGAATAACAGTACGTGCGGGTGTTTTCGCGGGCGCGTTGACGTTGCCGTTCGCTTCCCATCTACAGTTAGTTCTTGCCTAGCTGTTGGCGCGCCTGGACAACGCAAACTGCGTTTGGAGTGTTGCCCTTAAAAATAGCCAAATATTTTATAGCAACAACTCTTGTCAATTCATTGCTGTGGTGTGTGTGTGTGCGTCGCAGCTGGTAAAAATTAAAATATGTGTGAGCATAAATCGAATAAGAATTCGAAATGCCGCATCCTGTGAAAAGTGAAACAAACAAAACAGCAAAAGGGCAAGGCAAAAGTTTTGTTATTGGCAGCGCAGACATTGCCTCTCGGCCACAGGCTCTTCTGCGCGCTCTCTCTTTCTCTCTCTTTCGCTCTCATTCACTCTGTTTGCTGCCCTAATCTAGACTATTTCGTACAACCGTTTGCCTCAGCGGCTCATTCGATTTTCCTTCTTCCTCTTCCGCGTGCGTGTGGCCTGCGCTACTGTTGTTATTGTTGTTGTTGTTGTTTATGCTGCTACTTTTTATCCTGTTTTACTTCCCTACATTTTTTACTATTTTATTTACACTTTTCGGCTGTGTGTGCGCGTACATTGTTAGTTGAGGAGGTGGGGTAAAAGGGGCGCGCATTTTGCTCACACCTGAGCAACGTGTATTTGCGCCCTGGAGTTGCTCTGGCAACAATAGCAACGACAACAACAACAACAACAAGAACACGAGCAATAGCTTATGTTATTTGAATTTCCTTTTTATGTAGCAAACAACACGAAAGCTCGTGCCAACCGAACGTGGCAAAAAGAACCGTTAAAAACATTAAATTATCACATATATAGTAACAGCAGCAAAGAACTGTAACGGTAAATACCAGTGTAACTGCAACTGCATCGCCAACGGCAACGACAACGGCAACTCCCCTCTTGGCAGCCGGCAAATGATCAGGCGAATTAAAACTGAAAGTTCGCCTCGAATTGTCGCCTAATGAGCATGGAACAGAGGGAGGGCATACAAAGTGTCGCCGCTGCCGTGCGGTACGTTCGCGTTTCGGGAGCCATCCACTGGAGGTGAGTGGATATATGTGTGTGTTTGCTTGTTACGGTGTGACAGTGTATGTGTTTATGGGTGCTATATATTGTCTATTAGCGCTGTGTTTTGTTTCTTAGCCGCCTTGAAATTAGCTAAGCAGCTGCTAATTGGGGTGGCAGGTCGTGAACATAGAACGCAGTGAAGTACAGGAGAGCGGGTGGGGGAAGTGGGGGAAGGGTGCAGAAGCGAAGCATAGAGGAGCGACAATTGTTTAACGGGTCATAAGAAACTGGATGCTAATTATAAAACTGCATCGAACATATGCTCAACTCGAAAGATTATTGACAATTCTATTTAAGTGAATGTCTAATTTTAAAGTACACTGGACAAAATTTGTGTTTAAGTTTTTGAATATATTTGATATATAATACATCATTATAATAATGTAATAGTTGTTTTTTAGCTGCTATTCTACATAATTATTCACAAAAATTAATATTTTAGAAAAATTTTGATGGAGTAACCGATAACATATTCAATCAAATAAAAAGTACAACAGTTATTAGATTTAAACTATATTTCAATTAAAGGTATTTGGTACATTTCAAATTGAGAGTAATTCGAATCTAATTTATTTATTTGTTCAGAGACTGTTAGAGGTTTTTTGTTAATTTTAAAACAAGGGAATTATATAGATTTATTTCTAGATTTCTGAAAACCCATACAAACAAAAATGATTTTCGTTTAATTAATCTTTTTTAATACGATGTATTTATTTAAAAATGTATATTTCTATGAGATCTCTTCCGTTATATAATTTGTTTATACTTATAATATATATATATTTATTGTTTTATTAAACTTGTTTTTTGTTTTTAAAGCCCATAAAGTACACGTTAAAAACTAGTTCAGTGTTTTCGCTGAATGTTATAAATTCTTGAGCTTCGGTTTTGGCAGTTGCCAAATAGAAGTGGAAAAGTCGCCCGCAGATATTTTCGTCTGTTTAGTTTCTGTTGTAGTTTATCTTATGGACATTTAGCTGGCAGTTGACAGAACTCGGACTTTGGCCTCAAGCATGTTTGAGTGAAAAACATCTCAAATAACTTAAACGATGTCCTGGGATGTAGTTTTTGCTGTTATCTTTTGTGGCAAGCCAAGCAAACAATCTGCTGTTGAGCTGGTCTTGTAATGGAAGACATTGCGAAATGTTCTATGTGTAGTGGGGTTGGATGCATATATAGCATGTATATATCTATATATACTTCTGACTCTTGCATTATTAGAATTATTCTCATATATGTATATAGCTATATACCTATATTTTATTCATATAAAGCTTTTACATACGCAAAAAGAGTATTTTTTTAACCGCCTATATTTTAAATTATAAAGAGATTTGCATTACAAATTAAGAACTTATGCTTCGAAAAATCATTCTTTCCTCGCTGCAATAAAATCATTCAACTTGAACACCCATGGAATACGTGTTATATGTGCAAGACCTAGCTATAAAATAATAAACGCGGCTTTAGGATTAAATAAAATATATATAAAAAGAACATAATAATTGCGAGTAATCACGAAACAAGTTTTTAAATACAGCTAAACAATAAACTCTTTTGGGGTTTGTGAGAAAAAAACAGCGAAAACTAGACATGAGCTCCACGCAATCTTAATTGTCATAATCACAGCGAGGGGAGGTCCTGCGCACACACACAAATACATATGCACATATGTAAATATGTGTGTGTTAGTTACCATATTTTGCAAAGCGCCCTTTGCGGCGTGAAAAATTAAAACGTGACACAAATTACTAGACTCAGAGGGCCTCACACACTCACACTCACACACTTACACTTACACATACGCACACACACAAATTCCATTAACAGGGTGTCCGCTCTCTCGCTTGACAGCTGCACTGCGTCTATCCCATGGGGCTCGAGGGCGACGAAAAGCCTTCCGCATACTGTCTATGCTGTCTCCGTCCCTCTCTTTCACTCATTCTCAAGCGCACCTCAGGGGGGCTTTGTTAATAAATTTTATACGCGTAGATTTTGCACGCACATTTTTGAAGGATTTCAGCCCTGTCAACAGGCCAAGTACCCATTGAGCCATCCCCCAGCAGGCATTTACATATTATGGGGGCCATAAAAAAGCATACCAGCGGCTTAAATCTCCTCTCTATTCTGATTGTGATTTAAAGTTTGTCTGCAACTTCATCATATATTGTGGATTTTTTAATAGAAAAATATATTACCATTAAATATTTAACTAAAAACTGAATGTATGAATACAACATTTTCAAAAGCTCACATATCGTTCGACTCGTATGTATAGCATAGCTATATATGAGTCAAGTCTGTTCTTTATGATTATATTATATTTCTTTATTTGAAAACATTTTTTTATTTTTAACACGTTTCAAATTATCAGTTAGAAATACTTTTGAAGTTATATAAATAGGAAAACGTTTAAAAAAATATTAAAACTACCATTTTTTATTTTTTTTTTTAAATATAAAAAAAGTTAAAATTATATTTTAAAAATGAATTTGATATATGTGTATATATTTTTAAACTAATTTATTTGAATAAAATTTCGAGCAGGAATTTCACTTTTTTATTTTTTAAATTTTTATTCATTGTAATAGAATTTTAAAGAAAAGTTTTTTTCTTTGTAAATTCATTGTACATTTTTGATTGTAACTATAGAAATACTTTCACTTTATAATAGCATCAAGTCATTTAGTATTTTCCACAAATGTTATCTAAAGTTTTGTATATCTCCTATATTTTTTAAATATTTTACGATTTTAGCTTTACGTAATAAATGTTTTGAAATTCTCGCATTCAATTGAAGTCGTTTATAACTTTTGCTTAGTAGGTAGAATTAGTTTTTTGTGAAGCAGAAAATGTTTACGGTTGGGCAGATTCCGGGTTGGTTGTCTGTCTGCTTCTTGAGCACGCAAGTCATTTCATGGACTTGCCGACCCTTGCCGTGCGTTTCTGCCAGAGGCAGCTGCGTGAGCTGAAGTGAATGGATGGAATGGCTTTGACGGGCTGGCTGGCTGGTTGGCTGGTTGGTTGGCGGGTTGGCTGACTGCCTGGCAGGCACTGGACATGAATATCAACAACGAGCAGGAAAAGGACTTTACTCAATTTGACAAACATGACACAGAAACCCCCGGAGCTGACTTGCAATTTGCCCTGGACAGACACTCTTCCCTGCTTCTTCTCTCCACCGCCTGCTCCTTGCTGGCCCGCATTGGCAATTAAATTTTTAAAATGCCATTTCGAAAGCTATTTGGAGCGCCTATGCGAATGAGCAATGGCAACTGCGTGCCTGCCAGGACTAAGCACTAAGGCCCGAGTACTAAGGCCAAGCAATTGCCCTGGCATTGCGGACAGACAATGACAATATTTTCACAAAATAAACCTAAATTCAATTTGAGTTACAGCTGAGTACATGTGATGTGTGGGCAAGTCAATGTATACCCTTGCGACGAGTTGAATGCATTTTCTATTGGATGCTCATGGCATATAATGTACCTAAGAAGTGGTATTTGAGCTATCAGTAATATGACGTGTCTACATAGGTAGGATATGAACGATGAAAGACTCTTAAAACATTTTTTAGCAGAGGAATAATATTAAATCAAAATAAAAACTTTTAGGCAATTTTAATTGACAAAGAAATATTTCAGTTACATATTTAAATTGCGTATCAATTTTTTGTCTGGTATTGGTACTGATTGGAGAATATATTCCTATTGGACTATTTAGTATATACTATAGATAACGAAAAAAATTTTTCAATAGGTTAGGCTTCATTCAATTTTGTTCCCTTTTCAAATGATTAGATTACTCTACAAATATTATGAGACTAACTGTATCGAATTTATTTTTTTAAATAGAAAGTATTTTTAATTTCCTTTTTTTTTTATATTTATATATTTTATAAGCAAAGTGAATATAGTATATAGAAATATAGTTTAGTTTTAGTGGGGAAAGATTTTTTCGAATTATTTTGATAGTAAAATATATATATGTATATATATAGTATATATATATAAATATGTATATATTAATTATAAGAGCGCATAGATAACATAGATAAAAAACATATTCTTGAGGGTATTTAGCTTTGCGGTTGTCTAGGCTAATATTTTCAGATATTGTGCTCCCTGTATATGCAGCCCATGAGCAGCGCAGAGCGGAGGCTATTCAAATTTTTTGCGCCTTTGTTTTGCTTGTAACTTTCGCATACCGCTGAATCACTTGACTTGCTTGCTGCCAACTTCCTCGTGTCATCGGCGGCCAGTGCCTCTTTCTCTCTTTCCCTCAGTCTTTCTCTCTCTTTTGCTCCCTCTCAGTTGAGCTCAAGGACTCTGCTCGAATGCAGCTGCCGCTTGCTTCTCTTGGCCATCTGACAAGTGGGCCTTCTTCTCTCCCTCCCTCTCTCTCTCTCTCTCTCTCTCTTTCTCTCGTTTTGAGACCTCAGGCGAATTCTGCCCGCATTGCAATTTCTCACAATGTTGTCTCTGTTTGTTCTACCTCGCTCTCTCACACTGTGCTTGCTTTTGCTATGTTTTTTTGTTTTGTTTTTTCTTGGCTGTTGTAATTTAATTGCCAATTTTCACAATTTTTCACTTTTTGTACTTTGGGTAGGGGCCAGCATTGGCTGTAGCTTGCCAAAGGAAATGGAATTTTCTTTTATAATTTGTATCTCAGGCAAGATTTTGGCAGCACAAAATCGATTATCTAAGAAAGTTGCAATACAACTTGGCAGTCGAATTACAGGAAAAGTCCTTGAACATTTACTGCAATGAAAATTCGATGGAGGAAAATTGGTGCAAAAGGTGCCAAAGATTAGAAAGTGTTTTGCATAAATAGAAGAGGCTTACAAGAGTTTCGTCATCCATCTGAAATGTTATCCATATTCTAGAAAATATCTAGCTAAGGGAATAAGATATATGATATGGTAAAGCGAGTATCTAAATAAAGTTGGTCTATTTAACAAAATTCTTTCTATTCAC